TTAAATTTCAAATCAAATACACATCTTTAATTAGAAAAATCATTTTGAGAAAGCATTTCATTATAAATGATTATTTTAAGAATTAATTCTAAATTTAGCAGAAAAAAATAACTTCAATTAATCCTCATTTGAGTAACATTATGTATGAAGGACCATCTTGGGGATAAATCTCAATTATAGAGGACCACTTAGGTAATTAAAACTTATTGAGGACTGATTTGAAAAAATACCTTATTACAAAGGACTATTTTGGGAATAAATCTCAATTATAGAGGACCATGTAGGTAATTAAAACTTACTGAGGACTAATTTGGGAAAATCCCTTATTACAAAGGACTATTTTGGGAATTTACTCTTTATTTTATTTTTTGTTTCAAACTACTTCATCTATCTCAACTCAAATTAATATTCCTTACGCTTGTTTTCATTGATCATATTATAAAATAAAATATTTTTGTCACATCTTATTTTGTAGACTTTTATATACTATCAATATATACTACTCCCTCCGTCCCCAATTTGATTACAAATTGCGGGTTACGGAGTAAAATTTCCTACTTTTTGAAATCATTTTATTTACAAATTGGTATATCAATAAAATATAAAAATTACATATTAAAAAACTACGTGAAAAGTTCTGCAAAACAAGAGGTGACAAGAATATTTTATTTTATCAAATACTTAATGAAATCACGTAAACAAACAAAAGTTATCGAGAGGAGAGAAAAAAAAAAATTGTAATCCATTTAGGGACTGAGGGAGTATATTACTATATTTTAGTAACTTACTCCCTCCATTCTTGAAAGAAAGTTTCACTTTTGACCAAGCCGTAAAAAAAGGAAATATTAAATTCTGATTGACTTCCAATTTTGTCCTTGATGTGATGAGTAAAAGTATGATGTGATAGACATATTATTAGAGAAAAAGTATGATGTGATAGGTAAGGTAAGAAAAAGTGTGGATAAATGGGGTCTTTTAATAGAAAATGAAAGTGTTTGTTGAAAATGGAAAAAATGAAAGAGGAAGTGTTTTGAGAACGGAGGGAGTGTATTATTAGTGCTCAAAAAAGAAAAGTGCACGTTTGGCAATAGCTCTAATTTTCTAAAAAGACTATCTAATTCAAAAAGTGAAATTTGCACTAAATAGGACTAAAACATAATGACTTTCCTAATCTAGGACTTAAACTTTTTTATTCCCTAAATAGAACTTAATAATGACCTAGTAGAAAGAATAATGTCTTGTAATCATGAACATTTACATGAATAATGACTACTTGATAATGACCAAAGGTCCTAGATTGGGAAATAAAAACATATGGTTCTATATTGAGAAAGTCATTATGTTTTGGTCCTATTTAGGTAAATTTCTCATTCAAAAATAATATATATAATTAAAACGTTAAACCTAACTAGAAATTAACGATGGCCTCATACAAGGCCTTAGTTTTTTTAATTTTCTTCTATTTATTTTGAAGGCACTCCTCCATTGTAATTTTACAAAGAAAAAAGAGATGGATAAATAAAATATATTTCCAAATATTCTTTTCATTTTGGGCGTGTTTGGATATTGGCTGATCGGCTAGCTTTTAGCAGTTTGACCAAGAACAGCTATCTGGCAAATAGCTGTTTTGCCTAGCGAATGGGATCGAACCACCAATAATCCAAATGTTGGGATGAGTAGCATTTTGATTTAGCGGTTCACTTTTTCCTTTTTTTTTCATGCCCTTAATGAATTTTTTTATTATTTAGTTGATGTATGGAATATTAAGAAAGGGTTTACACACGGAGTATGATTAGTTTTGCATGTTATTTTTCTTTATTTTTAAAAACTTTGTAAAACTAGCAAATTTCTTTTTTCCTTTTTTCTTATTATGTACTCTCGATAATTATTTTTTTAATTGTTTATTTTTATATATTTTTTAAAATTTGGCGAAACTAGCAGGTTTTTTCTTTTCTCTCACTATGTGCTCTCGGTGATTAATTTGGTATATCGCTACGCAATATGTTTGCTCAGTATTTATTTTCATACATAGAGTTTGTTTTTATTAAAATACAAAAAATAAACTAATTATAATAAAATATTACGGAGTATTTCGTAATTAACACATTAGAAGGTATGTCAAAAAATGTAATTTACATCATAAACAGCTATTTGTGAACAGCTATGTTTGCCAAATATTTTTTCGCTAACAGCTAATACAATCCGCCAGTCAAAACATCAATTCAATCACTCATTCAAACCAGCCAACACAAACAACCAACTGCCAAAGGCTGTTTTCCAAACAAGGCCTTATCTGAGAGCATGGATTCATGATTGTAAAGGAACATTCAAAATCTGAGAGCATGAATTTATCTATCCCTAAATAATTGAAAATCACGTGATATGGTTGGATTGAAAATGTGATGTGCTAATAATCATGATTTAGTTTGGCCATGCATGCATGCATGCATGTTACGGAGTACTCGGTAGTATATACTCTCTCCGTCCTAAAAAGAATGGGACAATTTGACTTTTTGGAAAATTAAGGGATGGATATTTTGGTATTGACTTTCCAAAAATACCCTTGATGTGATGGGTAAAAGTAGGATGTGATGAGTAGATTATTAGGAAAAAGGTATGATGTGATAGGTATGGTATGAAAAAGTAAGGGGTAAAAGTGGTTTTCTAATAGAAATGTAACGGACTTTACGGGACGCAGTTTTTTCTAAACGTAACAAACTTTTTGGGACAGAGGGAGTATATGCTTATTTAAAATAAATATTGTTAATTAATTACGGGTAGAGTTTAGGCACGTTAAACCACGTTCTGCTGCAAGTCCAATAATGAATAATTGTGATACTAATAAAATACGGAGTAAATATTTTTTTCGCATGAACTTTCATTGACTATTTGGTCTATTTCAAAAAACGATATACGCATGAGATCCTTTGTTTCATAAAATGTTTAATACTTTCTCTCTCTCAAATTGATACTTTCTATTTCTTTTTTAGGCAGCTTTAAGTTAATCTTTTTCAATCATACAATTTTATTTTTTTTAAATTTCGTGCAAAATTACACTGTGAGTATTAATTACTTGGGTCGGAGGTGAAATGATTTTTATATATGTAAGTTGTACTGTTTATTTTTATACTAATTTGCAAATAAAAATACTACTCCGTCCGTCTCTAAATAAACTTCCGTTTTTGACTTTTTGAGGATTTAAGGGAGGGATATTTTGGTGTTGACTTTCCAAAAATACCCTTGATGTGATGTGTAAAAGTAAGATGTGATATGTAGATTATTAGTAAAAAAGTATGATGTGATAGGTAGGGTATGAAAAAGTAAGGGGTAAAAGGGGTTTTTTAAGGGAAAAAAGAAGTTTATTTGGGGACAAAGAAAAAACGAAAGAGAAAGTTTAATTTATTTAAGGACGGAGGGAGTATGTAAGATCACAGGTTTGACAAATTTGAAGCAGTATAACTAATTTTGGACGAAGAGAGCAAAATGCTCGTAATAAATGTTACTCTATCTGTCTCCAAAACTTTTTCCCCTTTCTTTTTTTCTTGTCCCATAAACACCTTATATTTTCTATTAAAAACCCATGTTTACCTCTATTAGTTCTTAACCTAACTATCACATCATATCTTTTTATTAATAATCTATCCATTACGTCTAACTTTTACCTATCACATTAAGAATATTTTTAGAAAATCAATGCAAAAATATATCTCCTTAAATTTCCTTTAAATCAAAATGGAAACATCTTTATGAAATGGAGAAAGTAACTCAAATTGAACCGCACTGGGGCAATACTAACTATGATCTCAAGCTATATACGTCAGATAATAACAGTCTCTGTAACATGTGGAAAGCTTAGGATCATGGTTATGGTATATTACCATTTTTGAAGTTATCATAGCTTGATTGTGTGCATTAGTTAACTCTAAAAATAGAAATATCTATAAAAAAAAGGCAAATATATATAACTACATGTGACATTGTAAATAGTACTACCTCCGTCCCAAATTATTTGTTACATTTGCTTTTTCAACAGTTGTAGGAACTTTTGTTTATTTCTACGTTTTCATTAGTTATTTGATAAAATAAAATATTCTTGACACCTCTTATTTCGAAGAACTTTTCATGTAGTTTTTTGATATATAATTTTTATTTTGTATTTCTTTCCCAATATGTAAATAAAATAAATTGAAAAAACTTGATATACTTGATATTTTGCCTCGGTAATAGAAATGTGACAAATAATTTGGGACGGAGGGAGTATTTGTGAAGATAGGGGGGAGGGGTTATTCATATTTCATACTCGTTGATGAAATCACAAGCTAAGTGATGATGAGGTTTTGAAGTCATGGTATGACGTGACTTTAAGGAATGAGTTTGGTAGTTTTTTTTTTCTTTTATTTATTGTAAATAAACAAGCAAAAAAAGGTCGAGAGAATAAATTAGACAATTTAGAGAGTCCAAAGGCAAATTGTTAAATGCGGTCTATGGTGGACATTTATATATGTTAAATAAACATTTTTAAATATAGAACTAAGAATTTTTAAAATTAAAAAAAATATGTGAGAAAGATCATGTGGACCTTAGGTCCACCATAGAATCACTCGAATGCAATACTCCATATATTTTACCCTGTAATTACCTATTCGAGTCTACAATTTCTTCAAATATTTTAAGAAATCACGATAAATATGACTAAAATATACAAGTATCAAAATAAGAACTCCAAGTTTTTATTTCAAAAATAGGAATTTGCAATGTGACAATCTGGCACTATTTATGGATATTTTGAGAGTATATTTTGAAAATGTATATGGTCATGATTGACACTGTATATGTATTTTAACTCTATTTTAAAAATAAAAACATAGAACTTCTATTTTGGTATATTTTCAATATTTTACTTATACTTTAGTCATTTTCCCATATTCACATATCCCAAAAAAATTTATCCACCTTAATATTCACTGGATTTAAAAAATGTTGGGAAAAATTAAAACGGATAATATGAATTTATTTAGATAAAAGATATTGTATATATTCGTAAGTATTTGTCTACTTTAAATTTTTTAGTCAAAATTGATAAAATTTGACCATAAATTAAATAAAAGTGATATTAGATATTGATACAAAACTTTATTATATTTATTTTATAAAATAATTTTAATACGGAGTATACCATATATATTTTATATATTTATAGATCAAAAGTTAAAAATTATTGGTTGTAAAAGACAAAAATAGAACGAATACTCATAGACGTAGATAGTACTCCCTCTGTCCCATTTTAAATTGCTTGTTTGCTTTTTTTTTCTCCGTCCCAAAATAAGTTGTCTGTTACTTGTTATCGTAAACTTTTAAGAGTAAAATACCTAAACTACCCCTAAATAAGTTACTCTTCTCCACACTATCTTCTCATTCATCGTCACCCCTCAGCTCCTAAAAAGTAATGACAATTTCAGAAAATTAACTCTGTTTTTTCTCTTCCTTAAATATGCTTAAAAGTCAAAACAGACGATTTAAAACAAGAGAGAGAGTAGTTTCTTCGAGCCATATGTTCACTATTATGAAAAAAGAAATGAAATAATTGATTTTGTTTGTAGTTAGCCAATAGCCATTATTTTTCTTCTCTAACATGCTTTTGTTTGATTTGGAAATACTCCGTAAAACTTTGAATACTACGTGTATAAACAACTTTATTAATAATGCATGTTAAATGGTTTTATTTAGAGATTGACATATAGGAGTAATAAAGAAAGAATAAAATTTGTATATGAACAAATGTATACAAATTACAATATTTCAAAAGCAATACCACTGTAATCAATTATGGGAGTGAGGGAATAAATTCTTGTCTTATAAATCCCCATTCAATATAATATTTTTATTTACTTGTGTGCACATTAACTTGTCTCAATATATTATGGCCAACTATAGTTTTTCAACTTTCTATTTTGTTCAATTCCTAAATTGTTCCCGTTTTTTCAAAAAAATAAATACTCCTTCTGTCCCAATTTAAATTGTCTATTTGCCTTTTTTCTCCGTCCCAAAATAAGTTGCCTGTTACGGAGTAGTTGTTATCGTAAACTTTTAAAAATAAAATACCTAAACTACCTCTAAAATAAGTCATCCTTCTTCACCTTACTTTCTAATTCATCGTCACCCCTCCTAAAAAGTAATGACAATTTCAAAAAATCAACTCTATTTTTTCTTTTCTTTAAATATGCCCAAAAATCAAAACAGGCAATTTAAAACGGGACGGAGAGAGTATATATTTGTTCCCATACATTTTTTTGTTAGGTTCATTAGAAAAAAACAATTAAACAAAGAGTAGCATATGAATGGGACTTTTACATATCATATCTCAAACAAATAGAGTACTATTAGTGGAATTATTATATTACACATAAAGAAAACAAAATAATACTCGGCCTCAAGCCCATGGACAGGGCTGACCCAAATCAAGCCCATTAAAATTACGCAGATCAAATCAAGCACCTAAAAGGCCGGGTCATGCTTTGAGGCCCAAAGTGTAAGGAAACCCGGTCCCATTCAACCACATGCCGCCGGCGATGAACGACTCCGCCGCGTACTCCTCCGCCTCACTGGCGTTCGTAATCACCTTGTACCCTTTCCAATTGACTCTCCCCGCCGTATTAGCTCCGTCACCGGTGTTGGCATACTCGCCGTAGACTAACGTTCCGAGCGCAAAATCTCCGGCCCATTCGTGCCAGCCCGCCGGGTGGATGACGTCGCTGATCGAGCTCTGCATAATCACAGTCCGGGAGAATTCCTTCCATGGCCGGCCGAGGTACGTCGGGAAATTCGCCTGAACGGGCTTCAGATCTGAAGTCGCCCCGATTCGGCTGTTCTGGATCACAATTCCGGTGTTCTGACCCGGGTCCTTTCGCCCCTGGGCGGTGATCATGTTCTTCTGGCCGGGACTGGGCCGGCGGGCGTGGATGTCGCAGTCCTGGAACACCGCCGCCCCGTTCCCGAAGATGAAATCCACCGTGCCGGCGATGAGGCATTCGACGAAGAAGTGACGGTTGGAGTGGACGTAGAGCGTGTCTTGGTACGCGAGGATGTCGCATCGATAGAACGCCGACAGATCGGAGCCCACCCGGAGCGCCACCGCCTGGTGCTTCTCCTGCCCGGCCGTGTTCTGGAATGTTATGTCTCGCGCCAAGAATCCCGGACCGACTGCAGCTGTAAGTGACGACGGCGCGTGAAGCAGGGTTAGAAATTGGTAGGATAAAATAATAATTAATTTTTTTCCTATTTGATCAAAAGGGGAAAATAAAACTAGAGGTATTAGTTTTTTTTTTTTCAAATCAATCGGGTGTTTGTGAAACATCTTTTTGGACAATTTAGTGAAGCCTTTTTGGGGAGTCTTTTGTAAAAAAATAAAAAAAAACTTTTTGTTTTACAAATTTATTGTATTAATTTAGATATCCAAAACAATTTAAATAAATACGAGTAATAAATAAATTTGTTCCTTCGAAATTTGCAAAATATTTTACTAACAACAAATATTAGCAGCGTAGAGCTTATTATTCCAACCAAACAGGCCTGCGTCCAATAGTTGAAGATGCACGTTATTAAGAGTTTGTACTTCGTATAAAATGTCAAATCAATTAATGCATTTTCATGACAAAACGGATGAATTTAAGCGCAATAACTGGAACCCACTTTGTTACTAAAACAAATCGAATCAAAAGTTGTTTTTTTTTTAATTTTTTATTTTCCTTATTTAAATTTTGATAAACTTAATTACTTGCATATAAAGTCGTGATCTATCTTCTAATCCAAAAACTTAAACTAATATGTAGAACCGTACCTTCTACATATTCATTAGTGATATTTTAGTTTATTTTCTAATGTAAGAATCCCAACACTTTCAAATATAAGATTACAGTTTAAATTTTATTAGCGATCATTGTAGTAGAATTAATCAAAAAATGACCTTTTTCTTGACTTCACTTACGAGAACCCAAATTCTAGATTTTAATATAAAAAAAGAGACCAAAAAAACAGTACCAACTAGAATTGATGACAATAATTGATCCTAAAATTCGTAATGAATCATTGCCCATTTGAGACATGCATGAAAATATACGTATTTTAAAAAGAAAACTTTTTTTTTAAAGTGAAAAAACGTGGTGCCAGACTATTCAACGCGTAGACGGAGCGCATATGAAAAAAAACATTATTTGGTGTCTGGCGCCAACTGGAACATCCACTATTTTAAAAAGTGAAATTTGCACTAAATAGGACTAAAACATAATGATTTTCCTAATGTAGGACTTAAACTTTTTTATTCCCCAAATAGGACTTAATAATGACCTCGTGGGAGGAATAATGCCCAGTAATGCTAGACATTTACTTGAATAATGACTACTTGATAATGACCAAAAGTCCTACATTGGGAAATAAAAACATATGGTCCTATATTGAGAAAGTCACTATGTTTTAGTCCTATTTAGGTAAATTTCTCTTTTAAAAAACGTTGAATCTCAGTACCGGCCGGATGATTTCATAAGAAAAGATAAGAATTGAAGTCGGGTATTATTCCCTAGACGCCCTTTGCCCCTAAACAAGTGCTTAACAGCCCCCGTGAAAAAATTGTGGAGGGTAAAATTTTTAGTTCTAGTTGGTTTGCCACATTGTGCTCTACCATAAAAAAAACCCGACATATGACTTGGACATACATATTGGTATATATAGTGTTTGTTTTTACTCGTTTGGTCATACCCCAGTTAGGGTTGGAGTTTTTTAAGATCATCCTTACGAGTGACAAGTACGAAAACATAGCCAAATCCTCAAACCTATGAATAGCAATCCGGATTGGAGCGGCTGGTCCGGCCAGTTGAACTGTGACCGGGATGTGTGTTGGGTCCGTTCCAAAATGCAATATATTTTAGTAACATAAACTCATCTGAAATAGCTAAGTTGCAACGAGACTGGATCAAGAACTCATACGGGGACGGAGTTGTAACCATGAAATGTCATTTTTTCATAATTTTTTAAGGATTTGGGTGTGGGGATCGTGGACAACCCCAAGTACCCAAACTGAGACGTTTCAGGGACAGAAAGCGACACCTACTTGAAAAATCCGTGCAACGTAGGTGAATATTAATGTGCAACCTTTTTTAGACCAAGTGTAATACTCTCTTCACCCGCTAGTTTGACCGATATTATTTTTATAAAATTTATTTAAATATTTATATAAAATTAAAAAAAATAAAATTTACATAGTTAAAACTATATTCAAAGATCTTAGAAAATTTCTTTTAAAAAAAGGAAAAATATCTACACAAAATTTATTTTAATAAATACTACCTCCATCCCACTCTCTTTGTCTACTTTTGACTTTTAGAACTGTTCATCTAAACACTTTGACTCATCAAATTCTCTCAATGTGTAAGCCTAAATATAGTCATGTGTGATCTTGTTTGATTTGTCTTAACATATAGATTATAAATATATATAATTTCCATAATTTTTTAATATACAAATTACAAGATAAAATGGATTAAACAAGTGCATTAGATGGTGTACCAAAAAGTAAGTGGACAAACACAATGGGCCGGAGGGAATACTCTCCGAAAAAAAATTAGTTTGAGTCTATGATAGTGGATGAGCTAGGGGTTGGGACGTTGGGAGGAGGCAGGGGCCCAAATGTAAGATAGTTGACCCGTGACAATGATACTGCGATTTAAAATGTGACTGTTAAGTGTTTAATTACTGAATCAGTAAAAAGGACTTACCGACGGTGGCGGAGTGGAAGGTGGTGGTGCCGTCGACGACATTGCGATTTCCGGTGATAATGGTGTTGGTTCTCCCCTCTCCCAAGAACATTATGTTCGTCTTCTTCTTCGGCACCTCCACGTTTTCCCTATACACCCCTGCCTTTATCTTTATCACGTACCTTTTGCTGCTCTTCTCCGGCGCGTTCGCCACCGCCTCCGTCACCGTTGTGTAGTTCCCGCTTCCGTCCGCCGCCACCACGACGTCCGCCTCCACGGTCGGGGACTGCAGCAGCCTTCTCGTCCCCGCCGGCATCCACTCCGGCCACTCGCCGCCGCCCTCCTCTTTCAGCTTCCGGCTGGTGGTGGTCGTCCTACTCTGTTTCCTCTGTTCTTCAAGAATGTCGGAGTCCGTCATGTTCTTTATCATCGCCAGCGCGTTGCTGCACATATTCTCCACGTGGTTTTGGCCGGCGACGAGCAAATCTCGGACTTCCTTGTCGGCATCTGCCGGAATTAAGTAAAATTATAAGAAAAAATGTGATTTAAATGGCATAATTATTGAAAAAATGGATTTAAATTAGCGGGTCATCACCTTCGTGGGAGAATCCGTCGAGGCAGGTGTCCTGGTTGGTCAAGGCGGAGCTGATGAGCGTTTTCAGGTCGTCGGCGTGAAGCCGGAGCGACTTATCCGTCGCCGGGTACTTTTCGAGATCGGCGGCGGCCTTGTGGAGCTCGTCCAGAGTCTCATCCACCATCTCGAGGCAGTCGTGTAACGCCGTTACCTCACGCGCCGTCAGTTTCCGCCTCCTCGTCGAGTTCAAGATCTTCTCGATGGCGAAGTAGTTGTGCTCCACCACCGTGTGGGTGATGTTAATCGACAGCGCGATGACGTCCTTCTGGGTGGTGATTTTCTTGCGGGCGGCGGCGGAGGAGTTGGCGATGGCGGAGAAGCAGAGGTCAGGGTAGCGCGTGCTGGCGCACGAGGATTTCACGATGGCGTGAGCCGCCGGAGGAAGTGAGCTTCCGGTGGATTTAATTTCCCGGACGGAAACAACTCCGACCACCGCAGCTACCACGAGGAATGAGGCGAAGAGTACTAGGAATGTTTTCTTCTTTTTATCGGGAATGGCAGGGGGATCGCCGGGAGTTGACTCGCCGCCGGCGATTTGTTCCTTAACAGTGGACATTTGTGTGAGATTAACGCGCCGTTTGGAGCGTTCGCTCCGCTCCGGGTGCAAAATTATTGAATGGTTCTATTGGTTGGGTAATTTGGGGGATCGGATGCATACACCGCTTCTTGGGGACGGACGGGAACTATTTATAATATGGAAATATAGTGTGAAAAACTAAAAGATTATAGAAATTATTATTTATGATTTTAATTTATTATTTTTTAATTATTGAATATTCAAAGTTATTTATCCTCCTGATTAAGTCTGTGAAAAGTAATATTATTTATTTTATGAATTTTGTGTATGTGAATCTAAATAAATAAAATTGGATTTTACTCACTAAATTAAACATGGAGTGAGTAGAAAATTATAAACTCGATCTATATAAAAGCATATGTACATTTTATAATTGTTATATGATTATATCTGAAGCTTATAGCTTCCAAAAGTCTGAGTATGTAAAACCAGATCTGATTATGGGTTGCCATTCGTGAAAGATTATTAAATGGGGAAAAATGGATAAGTTTCTGCTGAAATTATTTATTAATTTTATGTTTTGAAATCAACCAAACAAAAAAAAACAATTGGATACTGCTCCTCTTAAAAAATCTTGGAAAATTCTCTAAATAAGATTTAAAAAAATTATGAAATATACAAAAATAGAATTCTTTATCCTTTAAGACAAAACTTATAATTCACACTACCATTATTACACTGCAACATTTACTACATTATCACATTACAATTGTTAAAGAAAATTCTTTTAAAACTTTTGGATACTATTCACATATTAAATTTATTCTACTTTTTTATACGTTTTTATCGATCGTTTGATAAACTTAGGTAATTTTGTCATATGCTACTATTTTATACTCCATCCGTCCTAAAACTTTATTCCCAGAGCACTATTCCAACTTTACAAGAATTTATATTTATTTGTGTTTTTTCATGGCCTATATGATAAAATAAAATATTCTTGTCACCACTTGTTTTGTTGAACTTTTGATGTAGTTTTTAAATATGTATGTTTTATTTTTTATTTCTATACCAATATTTAAATAAAATAGATTGAAAAAACTTAGGATTTTTCTTCGTTTTGCGTAACGGTAAGAAAGATATAGGACGGAGGGAGTACGTTTTTATCGATCGTTTGATAAACTTAAGTAATTTTGTCACCACTTGTTTTAATTTTTAATTTTATAGTAATTTGTGCTTATATTAATTTAAATATAATTGCAAACAAGGTGCCATATTTTGGACAAAAATAATACTCCTTCCGTCCACCATTAATTATCAATGGCAAGCGCCATGCTCGCCTAGGACAGTTTTGGCACTGTGGTGAGGCTCTAATGCCGGATTGGGTTGTGCGTAGCGATGTCCTTGAGGTGATGAAAGGCGTTTGCCATTCTTGCTGTGGTCTTATGGTGTTTGGCGAGCACAACTCTTGTCACACAGATATGTGTGATTTTCTTTCGATGTTGAGCATTAAGAATCGAATGGATTAATTAATTTGGGCTTAAGCTCGTTTGTATTCCGTAATTAAATGATTTGATCCAATACCTAAGTCAGTTCATCCATTACCTAAATCGACCGTATTCTCTTCCACTCTTTCGTCTTCTTCTCATATCCTTTATTTGTCCTTTATTCTATGTTAGTTTTAATTAAACAAGTTTTTCATCTCTTTAATTCTACATCAATTAATAAATTTAATTAAAGATAAGTAAATAACTCTAATCAAATATGCTAAACTGAATTAAATTTCTTTCTTTTAGACTGAGTTAATCAGCAATTACTTATTACTCCCCCCACCCCACCTTTTAGAATTTTTTTTGGTAAGAAAAAAGATGGATCACATTATGGAGTGCAAGAACCTTATACAAAATATAAATATTTCACTTTGTGTTCGTCATGAGTCGAACTCGGTGTGAACACATTTTATATCATCAATTGACCAAGTGAATTATGCCATCATGTGTTGATCATTTGATAAACATGCATTTGATATATGAGAAATTTATCGAAATAGTACAAAAATATAGCGACTTTTCCAATGTAGTATCATATATTTTTATATCCCAATTTCATATAATGTTCAGTGTCCACTGCTCATTGTTCAAATAAATGTCCAGTGTCACTAGACATTGTTCCCGCCACTAGATATTATTCGAGTACTTTTTTAGGAAATAAATTTTTTAAGTATTATATTGAGAAAAAAATATGTTTTAGTATAATTTAGCGCAAATTTCACTTCATAAATTTAAGTACGACTGTAATTTAGAAGTGTGTTTTTTTGTTGACAAAATATCCCGTAACATTTAACGGTGCTACATACATGTAAAACACTACGGTGTTAAAATATAAAAAAAGATAAATATACCTAAATAGGACTAAAACATAATGACTTTCCCAATATAGGACCATATATTTTATTTCCCAATGTAGGATCTTTGGTCATTATCAATTAGTCATTATTTAATTAAATGTCCATCATTACCGGACATTATTCCTATTCAGAGAATAAAAAAGTTTAAGTCCTACATTAGAAAAGTCATTATGTTTTAGTCTTATCACATAAAAAACATGACCCAGAACCATAAATTTGAGCTTTTGATTGAATCAATTTCTTGACATAGTATCAGAGTGTTGTTCAATAAAAGTCATTACTCTAGTTTTTACAAAAAATTAAAATTTCACATGGAAGATTCTAAAAGACTAATTTATTTTTAGTTTTTACTGATTAAGTAAAAACATCTAATGAGTAATGATATAAATACAATTTAATTTGTTGAAATAAATTGAATAGTAGTGGACAGGTTCACACGTACAATTCAGTGAATTCACTGCCTAAATGATTGGCATGGGGAATTTTTTAAAAAAATAAATATAAAATAAAATAAAATAAAGGACGATTATTTATCTAAATCCATGAATGGCTGCACGATTGCTGGAAAATGGAGAAACACAGAGGCAAAATAGGCTTGACTCTGGAAGCCATTATTAATGGGCTTTGGCCGGTTTTCAACTGGACTTTTGTGTAGTAAATTAGTAACACTGCAGGCCCACTACTTCTTTAATTTGTTTCCAGTCGTCAACTATTCCATCCATGGGTCGCTTTCCTAAGCTTCTCTAGCTAACTTTTTTGTTTCCTATAAATTTTGAGTCAGAGTAACTCAATTGGTCAATCAATAATTAAAAAGTAATGTCTAATTTTTACAATTTGCATAAGATTCTAGCCCAATATGCTATTAAAGCTTCAATGATATTTTACGAAATATACTCAAATAACATGTGTCATTTTAATGTGCAAATATTGTAGTTATAATTTCCTGATCGATAGAGATGCGAACCTACCACTGCTGCCACCATTCACACTGCTATATTTTTATCACATTGCCAACATACATTTTCACAGTCTTAATTATGGGATAAAAACTATACAACTCCTGTTTTAATATTTTTGGTCGCGTTTTACTCAAAGGGACAACTAATCAAGATGTAGACAATTAACTATCTATTTTAATATTAATGGGACAAGTAAGTCAAATTTTATAGAGTACGTAGGTGTCCTAACTGAGACGATGTCCTATGTAATCACTCTCTTTGAGTGGTTATATTACTTATATAATCCAATCTTTCTTTATATATTCTGTATAAAATTAGAGACCACGTGCAAGGTGATTGCAATTGTTATTAATTATCGAGTATTGATTTAAACTTAAAAAAAATATTTATAATTGAGTGTTCAAAAAAGAGGAAACAACATTTAAGAAAACCACTCAAAAGTTGTTGCAAAAGTCATCAAAAAATAAGAGTTATTTAAATGAAAATGATTTTCGGGCCTGATTTTCACATATATCGCACTTCTTAGATGAATTAGATCATAATGAAACTCGGTTCATTTTATTTTGTAATAACCACAAAACTTAACTTTTTATAAAAGATTTTCCAAACTTTCGATCGAATATTCAAAAAAAAAATTAGAATTCATTTTCTCAAACCATTTTTCCATCTCTCAAGATGAACCCCAAAATTTGGAAATTTTAATCGTTACAAAAGTTTGAGTATGTACATACGAAATACTACCTCCGTCCCAGAGTATTTGTCCACTTTTATTTTTACACATCATCCAATACACTTCTTTAATCCATTTTATCTTGTAATTTGTATATTAAAAAATTGAAATATTTGCACTAAATAGCACTAAAATTTAAATCATTTCTCTAAATAGCACTTAAAGTTATTTTATTCCCTAAATAGCACTTAATAATGTCTATAATGACCAGTGGTGTCAAAGATTTACTTGAATAATGACTAATGAATAATGACTAAAAGTGCTAAATTGCGAATAAAAACACATGTAGTGCTATGTAGGAAAAATCATTATGTTTTTGTGCTATTTAGGTAAATTCCTCTAAAAAATTATAGAAATTATATATTAATAATTTATATGTTAAGACAAATCAAACAAGATTACACATGACTATATTTAGACTTACACATTGAGAGAATTTGATGAGTCAAAGTGCTTAGATGAACAGTTCCAAAAGTCAAAACTGGACGAACACTCCAGGACGGAGGGAGTATATAATAATGGGTAACCCATTATATATTATGGGTTGGTGAAATTATTTCATTAATTAAATATTTATTTCTCACTTTGGAGAAATGAAGAATTTTGTTATGTTTCACTTTGGGACGGAAAGCTATTTGACATATAGAAAAAATGAAAAACTTTACAACTCAAGAACAGAGAAAAACATATCATTACAGTAATTATAAGTAAAAATGCTAGCTGGATTAAAGGTTAAGAAACTAGAGTAGAAAATGAAAAAATCTTTTTTCCTAAAATTCGAAGTTACAATTATCAACTACTATCATTGATTCTACCTTACAATAGAAATTGTTCAAACGATGATAATATGTCTAAAGTATTTTAACATTTGTCCTAATATTTAATCACTACGGGTTATATTTAATCACTATTTAACATTTTGAATGAATAGATTGCTAATATTTAATAATTAAACTAATGTGAATGACATATTGGATGAAGAAAGAGTGTATAATGTTTAAATTTACACAACATCTATGATGACAAATGATCCCACCTTAAATTATAAAAAAAATTTAATTTTTTTCTTCTTTTGAACAACTAAGAAGTTAGAGTATTAAAAAAATGAACACCTTATTTTTTTTTTGTTTCCAATGTACATCTACCATTTCATTTATTTCATATTTTAAATTATAGGAATATTTATAACATAATAAATAGTAAATAAAATTAATACAATTACTAATTTTCATTTATTCACTAATTAATTATAATTATTATACTTAAATATAATAAATTATTATAATTAATATAATTACAATAATAATTAATTTAATGTGACTGAATTTAAAATAAACTTACATATTCAAAAATTACGTCAAAATGTCTACAAAATAGAACATGTCAAAAATATTTTATTTTATAAAATAATGAATCAAAATATGTAAATAAAAAGTTCCTATGTCTTTTGAAAAGTAAATAGTGTAATTTTTTTTGGGATAGATGAAGTATAATTGCAATATAATATTTTCCTTTTGATTTTTTTTTAAATCATATATGTAGGCCTCGAGTTTGGTTAGTGGGTTTAGGCCCAGCCTTTATAAATTTGAGTATCATGAATTGAAATAACACCGGTATATTTCGTAGGTTTAGGGCCTGACTTTCTTAAGACCTTTTTCATACAATTTATAGTACAAGCCCAACTTTTGTAGAACACAGTTAGAGTAAAATTGGTATTACATCTATGGGTGGGGTTCCCATGACATTGGGTTCCAATGTCATGGGATGACCCAGGGATGCCCCGGTGCCCCGTTCGTAAAATTGATGGTTCCTACCCCCCCTAACCCCCGGTAAACCCCCCACCTCGGCCCCGACCCGAACACGTCCCCCTACCCCCGTCAATTGCACCCCACAAGTTGATTTTGACTTTAAAGTCAAATTTTGACTCCAAAGTCAAAATCAACTTGTGGGGTGCAATTGACGGAGTAGGGGGGCGTGTTCGGGTCGGGGCCGGGGTGGGGGGTTTACCGGGGGGGTTAGGGGGTAGGAACCGTCAATTTTACGAACGGGGAACCGGGGCACCCCGGGTCATCCCATGACATTGGAACCCAATGTCATGGGAACCTTGGTGTACATCTATTATTATTAATTGAAAACGCACTACTTCTCCTCCATCCAAAAATAAGTTGTTTCAAAATCCAAGTTATTTTTAAATTTAGGGGTGTAAACGGATATTAATCGGATCGGATGTGCCATTACCAAATCCGTATCCATTTATTTTTGTCGGATATCGAACTCGGATACGGATCTTGACGGATACTGAAAATCAAAACCGTATCCGCATCCGTCGGATATCGGATATATCCGTATCTGTTTCCAATTTTTAAAATCAAATTAAACAATACTTTAATTTTAAATTAGATTAAAGTCAAACCATTATTAAATCAATTATAATTTGGTATTGAATAATTATTTTCTTTGTTTTCATGATTTATGATATTCTACGATAACTCTATATGATAAAAAGATATATACACAACACACATATACACATATTTTTATATGTCTGTACATATTTTTATGTGTCTACACATTTATTTTGTATATAAAAATTTCTTATATTTTAAAATATCAATAGATAAACAAAATATAAACATAAAAAATTAGGAAAAACTATATATAACGGATCGAATATTTGGATAAACGGTTATTTAAACGGATGCATATTCGGATCGGATTTTAAACGGATCGGATATATAATTACCAAATCCGTATCCATTTAGTAATCGGATATCCTTAATCGGATACAGATAATATCCGTTTAAAACGGATGCGGATATTTCCTCTTTAAACGAATTCGGATGCGGACGGTAATCGAATTTTCGACTATCCGTTGACAGCCCTATTTTTAATTCTATATATTTAAAACTAAAGAATATATGCTTAAAACTTACTCAAAGTACAAAACAATTAGTGGTGATACAAATGATTAATATAAAAAAAGTTTGACATTGTATTATTAGGAAAAAAACTCTTTTTAGAAGGGGGATTCTATTTTTTTTTATGTATAAAAGATATTAGAAAAAATTGTCTCAAGTAATCTAACAATTTTGTAATCTACCGCAATTAAGCCAGCATTCAGTGGCATTCAATGGCATTTAATGTGTTTATATATTAAAAAACGATTTATAAACAGATTTGATCATCTTATATGCAGAAATAAGCACATTTTCATGTCTTTTTTGGGTATTCATTTAGCTTTTTGACTTTGTCATTGGAATGAAATGTGTTTTGTCATGTTTAGTTACACCACCACCAGTCGTCTACCATAAAAGAACGATAAAATATGAAAGTACGATCCAAATTATTTTACTTTAAAAACTAATTTAATCAATAATAAAGTTATGGCAATCTCATATTTTGATTTCATGTTCATCTTTGCTTTGCACAAACACGTACAAATAGTAAATATTTGTGTTGTATAGACAGTTATTATTTTTTGCGTGTTCATGTAAAGTATGAGATAAAAATATATGAATTGTGTGATTATAGTCGCAAGCCCTTTAATAAAATGTTGAAAAGTTTTTGGTATCAACGGAGTATAAGGAAGAATCTTTAACCATAATCATGAAACTTTAACAATTAACCCCAAATTGTAATTTTATCATATACATAATCACATAAAAAAGATCCGATAAACCAATAAGGTAATCTCATTGTTTGAAACCCAAGAAAATATGGAGAGAGAAAAGAAACCCAAAATCTCCATTACAATGTGCTAGCCACTAGGGAAGTAGGGAGTATATATATGCAGTGTGAAGAACTTATTAGTAAGATTTTTTTTCTTGTTAGATGATTTTCCTTGCCCTGTAGAATGGTGTTAAAAAAAGATGTATTTACTTAAATAACATTAAAACATAATGACTTTCTCTAAATAGCATCACATGTGTTTTTTTTCCCAATGTAGAACTTTTAGTCATTATGCATTAGTCATTATTCAAGCAAATATTTGTCATCACTGAACATTATGAACATTATTAAGTGCTATTTAGAGAATAAAACAGTTTAAATATTATTTAGGGAAATGACTTAAGTTTTAGTGCAATTTAGTGCAAATATTTCTTAAAAAAACCACCTCAACATTAAAAGATTTGCAATGGGGAGCTAATTCGTCCCGCCCCAACTTCTGTCACATCAGCATTTCACTAATTTTTTATCCCGCCCCAAAATCTTGCAATGCTTTCGCATTTAAGTATTCATCATTTTTAAATTTTAATTCTAAAATGTATACACCGTATTAATTTAATGCAAATATTTATTTATTAACAAAAAAATGATAAACAATAATCAGTTAAATAAGAGTAGTAAGTTCAAAATTAACAAAATAAATAAAAGATTACCATCAATTAAATATTAATTATTGAAAATAAAAAAAATGAAAAAAAAAGTCAAAACTGAATACATTAAAGAAAGGGTTTAAATTTTTAAAAAAATGAAATGGGAAAAAATGGATCCGGGTCAAGGAAGAAGAAGATAAAACTGGACAAGGTTGAAAAAATTTATATATAAAAAAAAAACGGAATAACGCCGCGGCGCCGCTTCAGTGGGTGCAATCGGAGTTGCGGTGCGGCGGAAAGTGGAAAACCCCCCCATAGTAGTAAATGCCCTTATTATGGGACGACGAATTGATCGAATATGATATGGGAAAATATCATAAATATAAAAATATTAAACTAATAACAGCACAATGTTTTTTTTTTATAGTAATGAACATCTATATATCTAACTTACAAAATCGGTCCACACATTTTCGACAGTTTTTCAGTATGAAATTAAACTAATAAACTATACTTTGAGACAGATATGGATGTGGAGTAGCCAAGTAATTAATTAATTAATTGATTGATTACTTGTTTTGTATGGGATTAGATCTACTCGGAGGTATCTTCCTGAAGCTGGACTCGACATTCTCGAACGGTTGTTGTCCCCGCTGTTCTCCGCCGCCCCAAAAGCCGGCCTTCGCAGTGGTTGGCGGCGGAGAAGGAGAGGACGGCGTGAACAAGGTTCTTGTTCTTCTGCTTCTTCTTATTCTTCTTGACGACGCGTCTACTGCGGCGGGAGCCCAGAGATGGAGGAGGAGGAGCCCGACGAGAAGCAGGGCTGCACATGGTGTTCTTTGATGGCGGGGATTCATTGTTCCCTTACCTAGTATAGGGTCGTTAGTTGTTTGTTTGTTTTGTTTAATGCTTGGTGGGTGGTAGAATTGAATGAGATTTATATAAGTGGTGGTCTTTTGGTGTGTTTAATGTTCTCAAATAGGGCAATGATAGGAATATACCAACATGCAATATCATATTTGTACACCAGGCTAACATAGACATGCACAGACGCAAAATGTTTGTGTAGCACATATATTTTGTGTCTGTGTTAGTTTGAGTGTACAAATAAGATATCCCGTGTTGGTGTACCTTTAGATTAATTCTTTCAAATAATCGAGTTAAATTAATTAAATTTTAATCATCAATAACATTAAATTTACATTGCATGCGTCATATTCATACAATAAAACAAATGTCTTATCGTTTTATGCAAGTTTTATCTAGTTTGACTCAAGTCAAACTAAATAAATAATATGAGACCATGTGTTGTCATGGCGTGATGAGGGCTGGGCCATCTCGTCGTTATCCATTTTTTCTTTTTTTTAATTTGAACCAATAAAAATAATTTACATCGTCAACTCATCACTTTTTGGTCTCGTTCTTCTTTCAAGACCCGTAACACGCAAATTTTTATTACTCTAAATCATACATTTTACACCCCGTCAAGGCCGCCATAACACATGGTGTGAAAGGGAATCTATTCCTAATTTCCTATACATTGAAAGTTTATCAATGTTAACAATAAAAATTGAATGGGGAATTTAAATTTGGAAAAGGTAATTAATTGGAATGAGGAAATGGCGGGGATCCAGAGCAAATAAGATCTGGGTTTGACCGTGATGTTTGGTGAGTTTGACTTGTTGGATTAGCTGTAGTAGTTTTTTTCTCCCCCATCCACGTGATGTTACCAATCTTCTTCCGGCAAAACCTCTCCATTATGTGTTGTTATTTTTATTCTGTTAAACATCGGATATAAAATATTTTCATATTGAGCAGACCATCTGTTTGTATTTGAATGTTTTTTCCTTTTTTTTATTCACCCATTTTAGAGTAATAATAGCCGAAATTGATTTTTTTTCAAATTGAGACAAATTAACCCACACTAAATTTTAATTTGTAAAAATGAATTTAAAAAGAGCTTAAGTATATTATATTTTTGCATTGTTCGTTCATTTATTTTGTTGACCTTTGCGACCGATTTGCACATATAATATTTACTACTCCGTAATACTCCGTATTATATTGTGTCATAGTGAAGTAATATATGCATGTTTGCAGCAAAGTATATTCAAGAGCTACCTTTTGTAACTAGCATCACTCCCGTGCGTTGCACGGGTCATACTTATATTACTAAATTAAGATCATTTCTGAAGGATACAATTTCTTATCTAATACTCCCTCCGTCTCTGAAACATCTCTCCCTTTCATTTTTTCTTTATCCCACAAACTCCTTCCTTTTTCTATTAAAAAACTACTTTTGCTCCTTATTTTTTCATACCCTAGCTATCACATCATACTTTTTTACTAATAATCTATCTATCACATCTTACTTTTATCAATCACATCAAGGGTATTTTTGGAAATTCAACACCAAAATATCCTCCCTTAATTTTCCAAAAAGTCAATAAGGAAACTTCTTTCGGGATGGAGGGAGTAGAATATAAATATTTTATTATTTTAAGGTATAAAAGTTAATTGCTTTACAAATAACGAAAGACTTTTTTATAAACTACAGACTTTTTTATATATCAAACTTTTACAAATTTATTTATTTAAAGACTTCTTCATGATTTTCTACTCCGAAAGCATGAATCTTATTTAAGAAATCAAGAGAGTGTAAGTCATTCAAAATATCGTATTTTTCTATTTACATGCATCTAATTTTTTCTGGGTAACTTATCAATTAGTGGTTGATTGTTCAACATATAAAGGTATATATTATTCAATATGTTTCCATGTACTAAAGGCACACCTCTTAAAATGATATCTCCATAAAACGTTTGGGCTTGGATCTCTAAATGGAAATATTATTTAATTGAAAGCTTATTTGGTTAGAATTATTACACGATAATAATAACTAAGTAAGATAATATTATTACACAGTATATTATTATTATTATTATTATTATTTCATGACAATGAATTAATAATGATTAAATACATTAATATTATTGCATGATATATTAGTATTATTATTTTTTCTACACGGTAATACATAATTTATTCTTGCTACAAAGTAATTTATGATTTAATTACTATTTCTATATTCAACACTTAACATATGTGCCACCATTTCTATGTATTACTTTGACATTTTTTTATATTTGATTTCTTTTATTATTTTTTTATTTTGACTTTTTTAATTGTGCCTTCCTTAAATGCATAAACTTATATATTTAAATTTCTTCATAAAATATTTGGCACCGAATCTCTAAATGGAAACATAATTAAATTGAAAGCTTATTTTTTAACAAAATGGTTTGTATGATTAAAATAGTTTGTTTCTTAATTGGAAATTATATAAATTACGAAACTGTAAATTTAATGCATTGATTAAAAAATTTACACCTTAACGTGATTATTACCTTTTATGGACAAATATTATTTTTAGTTGAATGGTAATCATTTTTTTATTATATCAATTCCAATTTCATAAAAACGTTCGGTATTAGAAAAGAAGTTTCTATAAATAATATTTTTTATATTTTGTTTCCTTTTTAGAAATATATTAGGCATGCAAAATTTCCTTTAATTTATCATTCTAAATAAGAATAGAGTAATTAAGTAATTATGCATGTGAAATTATTCTAAAAAGGAAACAACGTAGATCTTGTTTGCGAAACTAGTCCCTTGCTTTTTTATCAGAATTAAGTAATTATGCATCCGAAATTTCCTTTAATTTATCATTCTATTATTCTTAAAAGTATTTTCTTTTAAGAATAGAGTGATGAAGTATATAATTACCTATTTAATTAGGAATAAATAATTACTTTTTGATAAAATAATCAGGCGTAAATTATTCCAAGTAATTATAATAATAATAGTAATAATTAGGCGTAAATAATTACCTATTTAAAAAGGAGACAAAATATAAAAAATCTCCATGTCCCTTCCTATTTTTGTATGGGTAGCTTTCCTATTTTCGTAAAAGGAAACGAAATAAATATATGAATTATTGCAAAATAAGTATAATTGGTAGCTTTCCTTTTTTCCTCCAAATCAATAATAAATATATGAATTTTATACTGTGTATTTATTTAATATATGCATGGGATTTCCTTTTTTGTAATCACTTAATTCCTTAAATACCTTTCTTGTGTTTCCCTTTTTAAGAATACGGTACTTATGCATTCTTACAATATTGTATAAATGTGTTTCCAAATAATTAATACTCCCTCCGTCCGGAAATAATCTTCTCACTTTCCTTTTTGGTCCGTCTGGAAATATTCTTCCAATTTCCTTTTTTGGTATACTTTTTAAGGATAAATATCAATAATACCCTTCTATTTTATCACAAATTTACTTTTTTAGTACTTTTTTAATAATAAAAGGAGATTTAAAAGTTTATAGTATGTGGATTTTTGAAAATTTTGCATTTTTTTACTATTCCTTAATAAGCGTGCCAAGTCAACACGGGAAGAATATTTCCGGACGGAGGGAGTACTTTTTTTCGTTACAAATTATTAATTATTTTCATTTTTTTCGTTACAAATTATTAATTACTCGTATTTTTTACCAAGGCATCTAACACGTTAAATCTAAATTATTAATAATTTCCGTTTTATACTTTTATTTATTAAATATACTCGGAATCTTTTTTTAATCTAACCAATCATTTCCCTGGGAATAAATTAATTTTTTCCGTTACAATGATTATTAATTAGTAATTTATAATAAATAAATATACGAATTATTGCAAAATAAGTATAATTGATAGCTTTCCTTTTTTCCTCCAAATCAATAATAAATATACGAATTTTATACTGTGTATGTATTTAATATATGCACAGGATTTCCTTTTTTGTAATCACTTAATTCCTTAAATACATTTCTTTTGTTTCCCTTTTTAAGAATACGGTACTTATGCATTCCAAAAAATGAAACTATCTAATTATAATAATGTATACATGTGTTTCCTTTTAAAGCCTTTTTATGCGATATATATTTAATACGTATGAATTATCTTACAATATTGTATAAATGTGTTTCCAAATAATTAATACTTTTTTTCGTTACAAATTATTAATTATTTTCATTTTTTTCTTTACAAATTATGGAGTATTAATTATTTTTTACCAAGGCATCTAACACGTTAAATATAAATTATTAATAATTTTCGTGGGAATAAATTAATTTTTTCCGTTACAATTATTAATAATTAGTACTTTAGATATAAAATTGTGTAATTATGTTAATATCGTATATAAATGTGATTCCTTTTAAAGTCTTTTTTGTTGTACTTATTTCCTTTTTTTCTCCTTTTCATCCGCAGTAAATATGGGCCGTAGATGCATAGATTGGCAAATATCAATGGCTCATAAGGCTTGGCAAATGGGCGGGAAAAAGCATGGGGCATAATTCCCCTGCTTTTAAGAATAGGTTGATTCTTGTAATTGTGGCACATGAAAGAGTCTTTTAATTCTCCTCATATTTATAATTAAACTACGGGGTACTATTTTGATCTATGCCATGCACGGGGTGAAATAATTTTTTTTTTGTTCTTGTTGTTTTTCCTCGTGACAAAATTTTTCAAATATCAAACAATAGAAAACATATAGCTAGAATTCACTAATGAAATATATCACTCCTCGATCCTTAAACTATCTTTCCACTTTTTCATTTTTAATGTCCTAAAATTATCTTTCCACATCCCAAAAAGGGTGTAAAATGACAATCCTACTCTTACAACATCTACTCCCTAGTCTTCCCACTCCATGGAGATGAGATTCATCCCCTAAGATGAGGCTCATCCTTTTAAAAATTCAAGAAGCACAATATTATCCGTAGTATACATATATGTGAAAGGGTAATTGAACTTTAATTGCAGATTAGTGATAGAAAGTGAACTGATATTTGCAGATGTACTATGCATAAATGCATAACATAGTTGTTTCTTAACAGAGTTACTTCCTAAATTTTTAGACTACATGATCTGTGGAAATCTCGTTCCATTTATCAAAGAACCATGTTACTTGTACACCGCTTGGTATATGCCAAGTTATATAGTGTTTTGCACTAACCTTTAGATATAAAATTTCAGAGTGATTACAAAACTTTATATTGATATTTCATGCCGGTGCGTGGCATCGGTGTGTAAGTGGAAAAAGCACTAGCATACAAGTTAGTGTATAATATAATTGTATACCAAGTGGCGTGAAAGTAATTAAAATTTTTATCAAATAGACTTTTTCGGTAGAATTTGCACTAAATAGTACTAAAACATGTTTTTTCCTAATGTAGTGCTTAACTTTTTTATTCCCTAAATAGTCTTTGAATATTACCAAGTGGTGGGAATAATGTCTAGTAATGTTGGGCATTGAATTCTAACAATGTTCAGTCGCGGTAGACATTTACTTGAACAATGATTAGTAAACAATGACCAGTGGTACTACACTAGGAAATAATAAAATATCGTACTACTCTAGGAAAATCATTATGTTTTAATACTATTTGAGTAAAATTCTCCTTTTTTGTTTAAAATTTGGATTTCACAATTTTTTTGTCCAACTCAATAAAAAAGGTCGAATAATCTTAAAATTTGGATGAATGTTCTGGGCCATACCCGTATCAAACCCGGCCCATAATCTTTTAGAGAAAAGACGTGACGTCCATCCAAACTAAATGATGTGATCTTTTTCTTCCATAACCTTATCTCAATCACTTGAGGAGTATTACGGAGTATCCTCCCATTGTCTTTGTCCACTTATCTTTTGGCACACCATCCAATACACTTCTTTAATCCATTTTATCTTGTAATTTGTATATTAAAAAATTATAAAAATTATATATTAATAATCTATATGTTAAGACGAATCAAACAAGATCACACATGACTATTTTTAGGCTTACACATTGAGAGAATTTGATGAGTCAAAGTGCTTATATGAACAGTTCCAAAAGTCAAAACTGGACAAAGACAATAAGACGGAGGTAGTATTATTTATTGGTCCTCGTCCCAAAATACTTGGTATTTTACGGAAAATAGAGTGAAATAATACATTTTTAATCATCTTATTTAAAAGGGAGCGTCTAAAATGACATCAGTTACTTATACACCAGTTCGTTTGGGGTACCTACGGTGCTCCGTTTGGGAAAAAGACGGTTCCTACCCCCCTAACCCTCCCATTGAACCCCCACCCCAGGCCCCCTCCCTACCCTGGTAGTACACTGCAAGGCAGTGTACTGCCAGGGTAGGGAGGGGGGCGGGAGGGGGGGCTGGGGTGAGGGAGTTTAGGGGGAGGGTTAGGGGGGTAGGAACCGTCTTTTTCCCAAACGGAGCACCGTAGGTACCCCAAACGAACTGGTGTAAGCAAATGACACCAGTAACATTAGTGTCATTTTAGACTTACCGTATTTAAAATTAGTATAAAAATAAAAGTCAATATACTTATTTAAAAATTACTCCCTCCGCCCCCAGTTTTTGTCCAGTTTTGAATTTTGGAACTGTTCATCTAAGCACTTTGACTCATCAAATTCTCTCAATGTGTAAGCTTAAATATAGTCATGTGTGATCTTGTTTGATTTGTCTTAACATATAGATTATTAATATATAATTTCTATAATTTTTTAATATACAAATTACAAGATAAAATGAATTAAAGAAGTGCATTGTATGGTGTGCAAAAATGAAAGTGGACAAAAACTGGAGGACGGAGGGAGTATGTCATAAATTTTATAAACTAAGTAGTTACAAAAAAATTGATTTTGTTAAATAACCAATGAAAATGTACAAATAAATAAAAGTTGTCGTGAATTCGAAATACTGTAATGTGCTAGTCTTTTTGACACAAGGGAATACGTCACTTTATTTTTTTTCTTTTTGTATATTAATTCCTACAATCTTGATAGTATTTTTTTGACTTAATTTAATTCTTTTCTTTTTACATCAATTTAACTTCTACGGAATGAAAAATTTAAATCAAATGTATTAAGTTCAAATGAAGAGAACACACCCTTCGAGGGTGAACCTCATCGGAGAATATTAAGTTCAAACAACGAAAACATGCATTAGGCGTGTTTTATTTTAAAATAGTTGTAAATAAGAAAGCATCCTTAATCGAGTAATACATATAGAGTGTATCAACATAGGAGATACATGCTTTTATTCCCATAATAAGAGTTTGCGCTGTAGAATTGACACAGTATATGAATATTTCACAATATTTTTTATAATATATATAGTCATGATTGACATTGTATATGTATTTTAACTCATATTTTGAAAATGAAAATATGAAACTTCTATTATAGTAAACTTTTTATATTTTACTTCTAATTTAATCTTTTTCTCGTTTTATAATGATTTTTCATGATCATTAATTTAAAACGTTCATATTAAAAATAGATTAAAACGTTGATTCTTAATAGCATACATTAAAAAAACTAATATAAATTATCAAACGATCAGATCGAAAAGCGCGTCTCTAAAAATATTAAATTTGACAGTTTTAATAGCATATGTATTGATGCACATCTCCCATACTCCCGAGTCATGAGGTTGTTTCTCTTAGGAATTGAACCTCCTTTTCCCATTTCATCTTTGGTTCTTGAATCACTTAAGAAGAAAGCATTGAAATGGCAGAGAAAACCAAATTTGGTTAAGTTTAGCATTAGGCCAACTAGTCACATTGACTTGGTGACAAAGCTATATATGGGCCCACATGTATTAATTGTATGGACAATTAAACATGTTTCATAGGTAGCTGGTAGCATGGTTTTGGCAACCATTTATTTATTAGGTTTTGTGATTTTCCAATGAACAAAAAAAAATTGGCACAACATTATCCACCCACTAATCACAAGTCTCCATACACACAAATACTCCATTCCTTCTATAAATAAAGTTCTATTTGCACGTTACGATATTTGGCTAAAGTTATTTTTAAATCATTTTATATGAAAATAGTATCAAACTTAAAAATAAAAATTACATATTTTAAAATTACATTAAAAGATCTACAAAATTAGAAGTGACATTATTATATTATTTTATCAAATAAGATACGAAAATAGGCCAATAAAATGAACAAGATTTGACCACGTGAATAGTGAACATAAACTTTATTATTGAAGAGAAGGAGTATGTTGTGGCCAAACCAAGAAGCTAACTGAATGAAATATTTCAGGGACAAGAAAGACATTTACAAGAAGTCTTGTATTGCTTAATTGCTTCAATGACACCAAAATGTAGGCATCTTTGGCCACACAAAGGCAATTGCAAAATACTAAGAACATGAGAATCATGGGATCATATAAACATGTACCATATGCTTTGATGCTTGATGAATGAGACTTCAAATCAACAAAAGTTTGTCCATGAAAATTAAGAACAAAAAAACACTCTTCTGTATGAGGTGAGGGATTGCATCCCACTCTCAATAGAGAAGCTACAACTATTATATATTACATACATTTAACTTTATGCACTCTAACTTTATATATACAAGATGAGTAACCAAAGTTTCATTTTTTTAAAATTCTGCATTAAAAAAATCATGAAACACACATAGAACAAATGAGATGACCAGAGAGCATAGGTTTACACTCCTAGCATTGGCTTCTCCCTCCTTGTTCTACATCTACATTGCTTCGAGGACTTACCCGATTTTCCCTGCTCAAAAGCCTCTTCAATGACCTCAATCTTGTGGTCATGGGAGATTTCTGTTCTTGATCATCTTCAGCAGCATGCCTAGGGATGTCAATTACCAACATGCCCTCCATCGCGTTCCCTGTCAATGAGGACGACGAGGGGCAGGACGATTGAGCAGAAGAAGAAATAGGGCCTTGTTGAGGCTGTTCATCCAAACCAGTCCCTAAAGTACTGACTTGAGTATCATCTCCCCAAAACAACACATTAGTGGGGAAATTAGGCGTTTCGCTGGAAACTAGACTTTCGTCCGATGCGGATTCTGCAGGGGTAGGATTGGGAATTGGGTTTCGGCATAACGGGCAAGTGGAATGGGATTGGAACCACATGTCAATGCACTCCACATGAAACCCATGGTTGCATTTGGGCAAAAGTCTGGCCTTTTCTCCATCTGAGACTTCACACAAGCAGACTGCGCATTCCAAGCCATCTTTGAAGTCCTTTGTGCTGAATTCAACAACAGGTATGGTTTTCAGCGCAGATGGATCAAGACCCCTGCGAAGTGCAGAGGTTGCGGTGAGTTCTTGATGACCCGGCACGAATTCAAAGCGCCGCCTCCTCCTAGTGCTGTCTGGGCGGCGGTACCAGAACCATTTGGCGTAGAGGTGGAGGAGGAAGACAAATACCAGCACGAAGAACAGACAAATGATTGCTGCCACCATTATCTTCCCTGTCAGCTCAACCATACTTGACGAATCCTCTAAATTTCCACTTACGTTAGAATCATCTCCCATTTTTTTTCCACCCAATCACACACACAAAAAAAAGTTGAAATCTTTGAGCTTTTCAGGATTCAAGATTGAAAACCCAGCTTGGGTTTTCCTTGAGATATTCAAATTCTTGAATTTGAGATCTGGCCGTCCAAGATAGACCCTTTTACTCAAGAAATGAATACCCAGAAATTAAAACCCCTAAGATCTGGAAATTTCTAAGCAAACAAGAGCTTCTGCCACAATTAAAGAAAAGAATTCGGATGAAATTTACTTTTTGGCTAAAACGTTTGGGTATTTAAGAAATAAAAAGAAGGGTAGGCATACGAAAAGGTTGGAATAGAGTCACAAAAAGAACCCTCCTCCACATACGGCGGCGCCGGCGGCTTGAAGGGTTGCGACCAATCTACTCTGGTTTGACCGGACTTGAGATGATAGAAGTTTGGAGTTAGTTAAACCAAAAAAATAAAAATAAACAAAGGGAAAAGAAACATTTGACCGTGTTCACCTCGGCAGACCAGAAATTTGTTGCGTTTCAAATTGATTTTTTGCCTGCAAGATGTTTTGTTTGGCTTGATCGATGGAACAGTAAGGTTGAAGAAGAATAAATTAAGAAAGAAAAAAAGAAAGAAAGAAGATTCTGGTCACAGAAAAGAACAGTGACGGTCAACGGGATTGACCTTTTCAATACGGCAATAGAGAGCTGCGAGGAAACAAGACTCCGCTCCGCTCTTCCCGAAGATGGCGCTGTCTTCATTCAGTCCTGCTTTCATATGCTCCGATTTTAAGTTTGGTTCCCATTTTGCTTATTTTTCCCATTTGGTTTGTAGAATAGATAAAGGTGCAATTGTTATTAACTATGGAGGATTTGTCCCTTTTGGGTAATTTCATTTAAAGGTGAGTGAGTGATGATTACCCCGCCGCCTCAGCCGCCTCCGCCGCCTCCACGTCCCGATCTCACACCGTAACGTAGGGGTGAACAAATATCGAATCGATCACGAAATTTTTCAAAAAAAAACAAAAATATTGATCTGAAAAAATATCGAACAGGAAAAGTACCGAATCGTACAAACCGAATGGTCGGTACAGTATTTGGGAACGGTACGAGGTGATGTCACATGAATCGACCTCTTAACTTATTTATTAAACAATCTTTTTCCATAATTCACTTTTCTCCATCTTTCTCCTACTATTAAATAAACTGTTGAATAAAGGTCTGATCGGTATAAAAATTTAAATTTGTCATACATTTGATTTTTTATTATTATGTTAAACTTTTCAAAGTTTTTTTAAAATAATTATTACATTCAGTGTAGGTGGCACGACTGTTTGGTAACGATTACTTTACGAGAAAAATGGCGTACATCGAGAAATAATTCAAGCACCGATTTCACACGAGGCTCCATCTTTTTTTGTATTGTCGATGATTTAACATGCGTGGATCTATTTTTTAAACTGCAGTTAGATGTCAGATATATGATAAGTTTTGTACTCCATCCGTTCTCAAAAACACTTCCTCTTTCATCTTTTCCACTTCCAACAAAACACTTCTCCTTTCTATTAAAAACCACTTTTACCCTTACTTTTTCATACCCTACCTATCACATCATACTTTTTCTCTAATAATCTATCCATCACATCTTACTTTTACCCATCACATCAAGGGCGAAATTGGAAATCAACTAGTATAATTTAACACTTCCTTATTTTTGCCCCAAATCAAAGTGGGAAGAGTTTTTCTAAATGGAGGGAGTATATTTTTAAATTTAAAGTTAGAAATTAAAAAAACAAAAGCTAAAATAATCTCATCTTTCAATAATCTACAAAAACAAACAATTTTCAAAAATTCTGTTAAGTGAACTTTAATTTTTTAACGACAACCCAAAACTCGTACACATGCAGAAAATGTGAGATTATTTAAAATGATAGCAAAAGTTAAATGCTACGGAGTATTGTTTTTGAAAGAGCACCAAAAAGTAGAATTATTTGAGATAATTTTTCAAAATTTAAATTACCAACATGTTTGGAAATTGAAACACCTTTCCGAAGCCCATTTCATCCATTTCTGTCTCATCAATGAAGAACTTGATAGCATGTTCTTCGCTAGACACGGTTCGCTGCGGATTTCCTTAGAAATCTAAAACGTTTTGAATACATTTCCCTCACAGCTGATCCATAGCTTACAATCTTACACGCTCTCCATTGATTCCTGTTTCTTCTTCACCTCATAACCGCTCGCTGGTTGACTCATTGGAATTTTGACGATAATCGGGTAGAGTCGATGGCGAGAGCTCGGTTGTTGGTGTTTCCGATCAGAGGCCGGAATTGGTGTTTCAGCCGGTCGGTTGACCCGTCCGCAAGCAAGGCACAATCTGCCACCACTCCGGCGACGCTCGTTGAGCTCTGGAACAGGCTCTCCAAACCCGCCGTGGTTAAGCCCTCCGGGTCCAAGATTGAACTCGTGGTCGATTTCGCCACCACTAAGGTCCGTCTTATATACGGAGGATTTGATTTCGCAATAGTTGTCTTTATGTGCCATTGCGGAATAGTTGTCTGTATCGGTTATGTGTTGGGTTTCAGATGAGCAATCAGTGGAGTAATTTGGAGAAGGCACCTGCTGGGAGTTTCAAGAGCAAGCTCCACGGGTGAGAATCAAGTCGTTATTTGCTTTTGTTTGGTATTCTTGTTTCTGCAATTGCTATTATTTGATTAATCCATTGTCACTGTCGTTAGGTTAGGGTTGAAGCTTCTGTCTACTGTTAAGCCTTCTGAGATATTCTTAAAATCCATTTCGAAGGAGGTGGATAAAGTAGAAATCACCTATCCATCTAGGTATGGTTCCTCTAAGCTCTGGGTTTTACTCACTCCGTCCAATTTATATGGTTTACCTTGTGCTCAAAGATTAAGAAAAGTAAAAGTTTCGTGGTTGAGATATATATAGACAAATGAAGGAAAAAGTATGAACTACACAATGCTTCACATAAATGGGAACGAGCAAGATGAATTGGGATAGACCAAAAATGAAAACATGCAAGATACATTGGGACATAGGGAGCATTAGCTAGTTTTCGTGGGTAAGGGTTTTGTCTATGACCTCATATCTCACTTGAATGAATGTATATGTCACGTGTTGAAATGGAACATTTATGTTTATGTATAAGGTTTAGATTTGAAACATGATAAGGTTTTATGCTTCCAGAAACACTTCCAATCTCTAATCTTCTTAGCTTAAAGCTAGTGTAAACATCAAATGCCAAGTACAAAATGGCAACACGTAACTCATGCACAATCAGTATATTCGGTTTTCATTCACATGGCTTATACTGAACTATACATATATTTTAAATCTACAGTTTAAATGGCCGACTAGTTCGTCGAAGGGTAAGACACATTGCCTTCAGGTAATGCAAAATGGTTCACTTGTCTTTTTATCCATAGCTTTGTGGTGACTCATATTTCCATGAAGTTGCATTTGTTTCTATTGGTGATTGTTGAATACAACAACAACAACAACAACCCAGTTAAATCCCACAAGAGTAGGGTCTGGGGAGGGTGTGTGTACGCAGACCTTACCCCTACTCGAAAGTAGAGAGGCTGTTTCCAAAGAGACCCCCGGCTCAACGTCGAAAGTTGCATTGCTTGACTAAATGCTACTTCATTAATTAAAGAAACGCAGACAGTTTAGAAATCCATTTTGATTTATTCCATCACACCCCAAAGCCAAAAAATGGTGAAATTTTGGCTCCATCGGAGATGATGGAAATACGTAGTATTCATTATTTTTTTTAAAATAACTTTGTTTAACTGAATCGTTAGGGGAACGGTTATTCACAAGAGGTACTTATATGGATCAACTGTTTTGCTCCCGTTGACAACAGTCTTCATGGTATTCTAATAACCTGTGTGGAATTTCTCGCGATTTTTTTTAGGTCATGTTGACAAGTAAATCTTTCTGTGCATCTACATTCTTCTAAATTTTTATCATCTCTTGTAGGTGCTACCCTTGCCTAACATCCCTTTCTTTTGGATCTTGTTCCGCACTTACTCTCACTGGAGAGCTTTGAAGGTGAGCACATTTCATCAACAATGGTGACAAGTGAATCATACTGACATTTATCTCGTAGGGTGTTGCTAAAGTAAAAAACGCCTCAGTAATGAAATATAGGTGTAGCCTTGCTATAAAAAACATTGAGTTGTTCTTTCTAGGGAAATTATTATTCATCTCAGCTCCAAACTTATTGATTGTGGTGCTCTAGAACTAATAATGTAGCTTCAAAATGTATTTAGAGCTGTTGTGATTTGGCTTTCTGATAGAAGTTTTTTTATTTCTTTCAGGGGAGTGAAAAACTTCTTGAATTAGTTACAGAACACCCAGACCAACAACATTCCAATAAAAACACAGCAATTGAGATGAGATGTAAGAAAGCCGATTCAAATGAAAATTCTCCATGGGTAAGAAATTTCATTTGATTGTCATATAACCTTCCACTCTAAATGCCAATTCTGAAGTTTTGCCACACCTTGCTAATATTTCACCAGACTTAAGACCTTTTTTTTTACATTTTATGAATTTTACTTTCAGTACTTGAGGTGAGCTACACCAATTTTTCTGCAGTTATTTATGAAGTTGTTAAGTGACAAAATCTTACTTTTTTGCTAGAAATATGTTTGTTCTTGGGGAAAACTTTAGGTGCTTTTTCCCTCGAGGTGAAATTTTAATAACAGCTAGGGACGATATGGTCTGAGGTCAGGCTGGTCAGGGTACTGCAAGTAGAACTACATCGGGGGTAACAGATCCTACTGACATAGCTGACAATACATAAAAGTTCAGTCAGAAAAAACTGGTTGTCGATGCCATTTTGAAAGGCGTAAGGACCAAGGTTGTGAACTTATGAAGTCATCGATATGATAAGTTGATCTAGTTCTTAGAGAGTTGAACAACAGAAACGCCACTAATTGAATTATGTTAGAGGTTATGAAGTCATCAAGACGATAAGTTTAACTATATTAGAGAGTTAAACAACTGAAACACCACTAACAATCTTCCTAACCGTATGCTAGTCAAGAATACTCACTTTGTTTCAAATTAGTGTTCTCATTTCATTTGGCTCAAAGTTAAAGAGTGATGGTGGTGGATGGGTATAGAAAAGAGAGTGAAAAGGGGAAAAGTATAAGAGTAGTCCTAGTGGTAGATAGTGCTTAATCACTGCTTGTAGAAGAGTATTATTGATATGAATAGGAAATGGGAACACTAATTTGGAACTATTCAAAAAGGAAAGTTGGAACACACAGGATATATAACGTAAACGGATTGAAACATATGGGGGATTTGGTACTCCCTCCATCCCATTAAAAGAGTTCAGTTTGACGAGCATATAAGTATATAACTTTTTAATTTCACAAATACACAACTCTTATAAAGCACTAAATATACCTATGTTGTTTAACAAGGTGAGAAATAGAACTTTTTAATGAGACAAACAAGTTGAGGAATACCTTTGATCAACATATATTCTGTAGTTCATGAATTTTCATCATTTGTGGCATAAGAATCCTAAGCCCTTGTTTGGTCGGGATTTTTTTGGAGGGGTGACATTTGTTTTATTAAACCATTCTTAAATTTATACACAGTGGAGATGACGTGTAGAAATACACGTTTTAACTGAGCAAGTAATGTGTCATTATAGTCTCTTAACAAACAAGCCCTTAATGAACTCCATTGATGGTATGAACAGGTTTTAAACCCATCAGAGGAACTACAAAAACTTCTGAACCTCGGACATACATCGGACGGTACAAGTGAAAGCACACTATCTGCAATATGCCAAAGGTATCATTTGAACATGATGGATGTCGCGAAGTACCGGAACTCTCTTTAGTAGGACATGTTTCCCTTATTACTTACTGGCTGTACATTTCCTATTGATTTTAGAATTCTTTCTCAGTGATTTTTTTTGTTGGAAACTCGAACATGAGAGCAACAAAGTTCATGCAAATGTTTTTGTTGTGTTTCCAATTCGTTTATTACTGTATTAATGTGTTCCTCAAAATAAAATTTTTGAAGGATTAAGGTTCTTTCTCAGGCTAAAAACATTATTTCTTCCATCTATATTTAACTAATCGTTACGACTTTTGTGATACATAAAAAGCCGACTTTTGTGATGTATGTTTATATTCATTTAACTTTTTATGTACCATAAAAGTCAAAATGATCAACTGAATGTAATTAGAACATTTGGGTTAGATGTGGTACATGAAAGGATTGGAAGGATTGGAAGGATTTAAGGAACTATGGAGACTTCAATTTTATGCTACCTCTTATCAACTCATGATTTTTTTTTGAAACCAATGTTATGTATTCGATTAAAGTTAGATGGTAATAAAGTCTGTGGATGATCTAACAACTCTTCCATGTTATGAGGAAGATGCTCTTGTTTACAAATGCGCTGTATTATTAGCAGAGCAAAAAAAGTAAAATTGAACACAATATCTCCGTCATATAAGGCTAAAAGATGTTTACAATCATCGACAATAGAATTAAACACCAGTCTCGGGTAGAATATTTAAATGAATCAACCACATCCTTGAGTCTCTCTCGAGAGTGACATGCAATGAAGCGTGCTTCATCGCTTCCGCCTATTAACTCAATTATTTGATGTAATTGGTAAATTATAGGGGGTAGGGGTAGAGGGTTAAGAATCAGAATAATCAATTTTACAATCAAAACATCGTAGGAATTTCAATACAGTATTTCAATTGAATTGGTGCTACACTCTTACCCTTTCTCTCTTAAAAAAATACTTCCATTTTGAATTACTCTATCAATACTCCATATCTATATTGATGTTGATTATGTAGACCATGTTAACAACCAGATCTATTATTGATGTTAATTATGCAGATCATGTAAAAACAACAAAAACTCCCCAATAAAAGGCTCTATGAAGGTGTGTTTGAGAGTGTGATAGATTATTCAAAAAAATAAAAGATTTAAATAGAATCAGAAAATAAATATTTTATTTTTGCTTAAAAGCACTTCTACAGCCTATTTTAGACTGTAAAAATCATAATATATATAAACAAAAACAAATTGGGAAATACGACAAATAACATTTTAATAAAGCAAAAACTCACAAGCAGTTTTTAAATGCAACCTCAAACTCGTTCTATATATCATTCAAACTACTAAACCATATTTGGGCTGGCGATGTGAGGCCCAAATTATTTATTGGGCTGATAACATGTTTTCCATTGCCCAAGTCATCAATGGCTTTCAAAAGCTTCTTCCCCGTCAAGTAACCCGGAGACTCATTTCTTCATCCGCTTGTTCCTCTACCAGCTCCGATAGTGCGAAGAAGGATAAAGGGATCTTGGAAAAATGGCGCCTGCAGCCGACATAGACGATGAGATCAAGGACGAGAAGAACCCTAGGCCCCTTGATGAAGACGATATTGCTCTTCTTAAGACATACGTATTGTTTCTTAAACCCTAATTGCTAATCCCCTGTCTCTCGATTTGCAATCAGAGTGATATTTAGAGGCTAAATGTGAAGAATTTTTATACTTTAGTATGCGTGTAATTGGAAGATCGTGCAAAGATGTGCTCTTCTTTTCACAATCCAATGGTTTAGCGGCTCAGATTTTTATATGATCTAATTTTAAGCTACTGGGAGAATTCTGATTGATGCTATTCTGATCTAGGATTTCGATGCTCGTACCGTTTGAATCTTGCTTATTAAGTGCTCACACTAGGACCTGTCATTCGCTGGCTGTTTTGTTAGTTTAGGTGGAACAGCCTTATGGCCTGCGTTCTTATTAGGATTATCATAGACGAGAAGAACAGGTGAAAGCTTGGAAGTTAATATTAGTGTTCGGTATTGAGCGATTTAATCTGGCCAGAGCATGATGCTTACCTTGCTTAAGTGCATTACCTCGTGTTTTGCTTGAAACTGATGATTTTTTCACGTAGAAGTGGTACTATAATCCATTTTCTAATATGGACTTGGGTCCAACCACAGTTAAAATCTGTTTAATCTATGATTTTCATAGTGTACTCAAGCAGACCCTGCTTTTGTGGGATTCTACTGGGTTGTTGTATCAAAATTTTGACTAGGTTTGTTAATGAATCTATTTCTCCAGGGTCTGGGACCTTATTCAACTAATATAAAGAAAGTTGAAAAGGAAATTAAGGAGATGGCAAAGAAGATCAATGATTTATGTGGTATGTTCCATTCTTAATGTTTTTTTTTTTGTTTCACTGTTTACTTTTCATGATACCCTATCCCAGCTCTGCATTATGTGAATAAAGTTCAGTTGTTTGTTGGGACAATGTACATCTTAGTGCGCCAAACAAACACATTGCAGTGTTTTCCTTCTGTTTGGGTGTTTGTTGGTTCTGAATTCTGATTGCATTTTAATTACTATAGGCATCAAGGAATCTGACACTGGTTTGGCTGCACCTAGTCAATGGGATCTGGTTTCTGATAAACAAATGATGCAGGAGGAACAACCTCTTCAGGTGTGTCTGTGTGTGCCTAAATTGATGATGAGCAATGCTGAACCATGTTTCTTTTAACACTTACAATATATGCTAAAGCTGTAACTTGTACTTGTCAACAGGTTGCAAGATGTACAAAAATAATCAGTCCAAATACTGAAGATGCAAAATATGTTATCAACGTAAAACAAATAGCGAAGGTATGGTGTCTTTCTATATAATCTTTATAATCCACTCTCCATACTGAGGTACCTACTTGAAGATCGAATAATTGAAATGCCCATACCAGTGCAACTAATTCTCATTTACAGAGTATTTTATTTTCTAAAGTTGCTTCACACACCGTCCCCCAATTTTCCTTGTTGTGCACTCTATATTTTCTTTTATTACCACATTTCCATCATAACACAGTGATCTCACCTTGTTCTTCTTCATCTGCTTTGCTATTGCCCTACATTGAGTTCTGTATTAAAGCTGATTTCATGTATATCTTACCAAATTTTTCCGTAAATCTTAGGGCTTTTACCATAATTCGTCCACGTAATCCATCATATCTTTGCCAATATCTTTTATTCATGTTTTCTAATTATGCCAAATATGTTTATGATCGTATATGCATATACGCAACTTGACTTATGAAATGGTACGTCCTATTTGTATGTTTTTCATGTGTTTTTTAAAATACATGGATTGTAATAGAAGAGTATTGTTACTAATGATAAAATTTTGGGATATCATTTGAGATCATCAAGTTGCTTGTACATCTTACAACAGCTTCTATATCTTATCATGATATCATCTATACATGTGTTATGTGTATATCATGAACTTTACATGCTCTCTTATTTTGTGGATTCTTCTTTTTGCATGTTTTGGGAAGGGAATCATTTTCTGCTAGAGAAGCCAAAATTGCATGATATTGTGTGGGATTCTTTTTCTTTTGTTATATTCCTTGCCGATGCACTCATGGAAAAGCTTCAACCGGTTGATTGAATTTATACTTTATATCCTGCAGTTTGTTGTTGGATTGGGTGACAAAGTTTCACCAACCGATATTGAAGAGGGAGTGCGAGTTGGGTATGTTTCCTTTTCCATGTTTTAATGTACTTTGCTAATTGCTAAAGCAGTTTCAAGTAATGTGTCTGCACCAGCCACAATATATTATATTCACCTAAAGTAATAGCTGTAATCCTGTAGTGGGATGTACATTTCTCACAAGGGAATGCGTTTTGGCTTGTCAAGAACTTCTAAGGTTCCCCATTGAACTTCATTATATTATATCCATTTTGATGGTATTTAGAGTTTCATAGTTCTATTGCTCTGTTATTTGACAAATTCATATAATTCTTGTAGTAAGGGTAGTGCTGCCACAGCCTTCTGTTTTTGGGTGAACTTATTTTGTTGTTTTCAAAAATTTGCAGAGTTGATCGGAATAAATATCAGATCCAGATTCCCTTGCCCCCCAAAATTGATCCAAGTGTCACCATGATGACTGTCGAGGAAAAGCCTGATGTGACATACAATGATGTTGGTGGATGTAAGGAACAAATTGAGAAGATGAGAGAGGTAATCCTTCCATTGTCTCAACATTTATTGTTAATTTGTTATGTCCTCCTTTTAAAAAAATTCTCCTGTATTTCCCTTTTCTCTCTATTATGACTTCGGCAAATGCAATTCGTGGTAATGACATTATGGATGCTAAAACATTAGGTGGTTGAGCTACCGATGCTCCACCCAGAAAAATTTGTGAAGCTTGGGATTGACCCACCTAAGGGTGTTCTCTGCTATGGCCCTCCGGGAACAGGGAAGACACTACTAGCTAGGGCAGTGGCTAATAGAACAGATGCTTGTTTTATCCGTGTCATTGGCAGTGAACTTGTCCAGAAATATGTTGGGGAAGGAGCTCGGATGGTTCGCGAACTCTTTCAGGTTCGAATAAACTGAAGGAAATATTTTCATTTCTTGCACTGTTTGGGTTCCTCATTTTTTATTGTTTTTTACTTTTGATGGCAGATGGCACGCTCTAAAAAGGCTTGCATTGTTTTCTTTGACGAAGTCGACGCGATTGGTGGAGCAAGGTTTGATGATGGAGTTGGGGGAGACAATGAAGTTCAACGAACTATGCTTGAAATTGTGAACCAACTTGATGGCTTTGATGCACGTGGGAATATTAAAGTTCTCATGGCAACCAATAGGTTCCGTATACCTTACCTTGCAGCTAACTTTACCCTGGAAAATTTATATAGAGTTTTGTGNCCCCCCCCCCCCCCCACACACACACACAGAAAAAAAGTCCTATTTGAAATTGTATTTGTCCCTAAAAAGGAGTTATTTTTTAACAAGAGAAGCTAAGATTTAATACATCTCATGTAATTTTCCAAAAAATAAGTGTTTGCGACAAGTTTAATATGTCAAATTTAGTCAAAATGATAAATAAATTTTTAAAAAATCAGAAGTAACTAGTAAGTCCTTTGGCAAGTAGTTACGGAGTTTTTTTTGGGGGGGGGGGAGGATGGAGGTAATATGACCGAATTTTATTCGTGACAACTGACAAGCTTGTTACATGACTGACAACTCCTTTTTTTGGTTTCTTCTAGACCGGACACACTTGATCCGGCATTGTTGCGTCCCGGGCGGTTGGATCGCAAAGTCGAGTTTGGGTTGCCTGATCTGGAAAGCAGGGCACAGATTTTCAAGATTCACACGAGAACAATGAACTGTGAGAGGGACATCCGTTTTGAACTCTTAGCACGTCTTTGTCCTAACTCTACTGGTAATAAGCCCTGATCATCTATCTTCCCCTGCTGTTAAATAATGATGGTGACAGTCGCTTTCTTAGCAGAGTCCCTCCTTCCCTATGTATATATACACAACAACGGCAGTAGAATCCCACAGAAGTAGGGTAGGGTCTCGGGAGGGTGTGCGTACACAGAATTAATTCAAAAATCAAAACTACTGTATACATACGCGAGAGGCCGAGAGGTCCTAATTATAGTACACGGTTAACGACAGTCAAAACTAGAAATTAAGGCTGAGAGGTCCTAATTATATCTACGCGATTAACGACAGTTGGTAATTTTGTATATTCGTTTGATTGATCGATTGGTTGGTTATGGATGTCAGGAGCCGATATAAGGAGCGTGTGCACGGAGGCCGGGATGTACGCGATCAGAGCAAGGAGAAAGACGGTGACAGAAAAGGACTTTCTTGATGCTGTGAACAAAGTCATCAAAGGGTACCAGAAATTCAGTGCCACCCCTAAGTACATGGTCTACAATTGACCCCCCCCCTCCCTCCCGAAAGACTAGTCCTACTCTGGATTTATTGTTCTCTCAATCTTTGCATAAGGACATGTAAATCATTTTCCAATTGTACTTGAATTCCTTTTGTATCTGCTTGTTGCACTAATTCAATAGTCAACATGTACTGCCTCTGCCAAGACCTCATGTTATATTGCTTGGGCTTTTGTTGTTACACATCATCATGGCTTGAACAAATGTTAGTTCTTAATCCAAGTTTTACATTAGCTATGAGTTAACTATGTTCTGAGTATTTCAAAAAAATGATTCCCCCCCACTCATTTATAGGTTGATTACAGTGATGGAATGATGTGGTTAAACTCAACTCCTAAATATACAATTGATTCAATTGAATTTTTGGAACGAAATGGAGTGCTGTGGAAAATACTACTCATTTTGTTTCAAATTAAAATGCCTCTTTTCTATATGGGTCAAACTTTATTTACCTTTTTTTTCATTTTTCGATAGTCATCTGATAAAATAAAATAGTTACGTCATTACTAATTTTGTACACTTTTTAATGTAGTATTTTAATACTTAGTTTTTATTTTTTAATTCTACCCCACCTTTGCATTCTGAAAGAATGCACTAATGTTTTCTACAATGCTAGTGTAATGGTTTATAAATTGTAATGCTAGTGTAATGGTTTATAAATTGTAATGATACAAAATATTAGTGTAATTTTTTTGATTGAACTGTGTCAGTCTAAATGGTTAAAATGCGCAACAAAAATGGGCTCTATGAAAATTGCGCACATTGTTCCAGGGGACTCAAGCCGCCGACAAGACTGCCGGAAAAGTCCCCGTCGCGCTGTAAATCAACCCGACATCGGGCTTTTTCGTTTACTGACGTTAATTCTACAGCACTGATTATTATTTGTCCGACATGTCTTTGTTGTTTTTCCAGCCATTCTCCCCTTTCCTGATTTTCACACTCTTTTTAGTCTAGAATTTGTAGATCAAGCCGAAGAAGCTTCAGTTCTTAGGTAAACGTTTTACTCTCCTCAATTCAGTTGGTAGGGATTTTCATATCCGGGTCGGGTATCCGTCCCACAAAAAAAGAGAAATAGTCTAATTTCATAAAGGTACAGCCTTCCGATCCCAGCTTGTTTGGGGTCACTTCTTTTTCTTCTTCTTCTTCTTCTGTTTTAAAAAATTAATTATGGTAAAATTTAGCTTGTTTTGTTCCCTTATTGGCGTTCTGTTTTAAGGAAGAAATCGGGTTTTCAAACAATTTTCTTTCTGGTCCTCACTATTTTTGTTTCAAATTTTTGTGGTGCCATACCAAGAAAACAATCCCATTCCATTTTCACTCCAACCTGTACCAAGTTGGGATGTTGTCCCAACTCACATTGGAAACAGTCCTCCAATGTTGTTCCCTTAATAAGGCTCAAACTTGAGACCTGTCAAGGAAACATGTTAGCTTTTTCTACTAAACAAATGTAGAAACCATAGAAGGATGAAAATAACCGGAACAATGAATTTGTATATTGTGATGTTTGTTGAACATGAACTTAAATACGGAGTAGTTAGTATCTGTGATCAGTTTCGTATGACTCGTGGCCATCTTTCACTGATATAGTTCTTATACGCGAACAGTTTAAATTCATTTTGTGGGAATTTGATTTGAATTCAAGTTATAGCAACGAAATATTTAGTTTTTTAAGAACTCAAGTTATTTTGACTGTTGTTATAATTGTGAATTGTATGTTACACTAATTAGTAAGTTCATTCTATGTTAGGCTCATTCTTGATTTCTGCTCAGTGCTGTTTTATCATTAAGCTGCTGAAATGGAAGTTTCATCATCATAGACATTGATGGCTAGCTATGTTCTTGGTGGAAGTATAGAATGTCAACTTGTCAAAACTCTGTGTGGGATAGTCCTTAAGGGTCATTGGAAAGCTCTCTTGAAACCCAAGACTGGTTTTCAAGTGAATTCGGCAATCGTGAACCAAACGCTTCTGAAACTGTCCCCTTGCTGGTTTTGGCTCTCTTGGTCATTCTTCAAATGGGTAGAAACCATCCCAAATTACCGCCACTCTTTGCAGTCTTCTTGGACCATGATTTGTATCCTCACGAAGCACAAGCATTTCAAGAGCGCGAAAGAAATCCTTCATCAAATCGCACACAAAGATTTCGTGTCGTGTCCCCGTGTTCTGAAAACCCTTGTAAGTGATGATGACTACGACGTGAATTCCCAAGTGCTGAGTTGGCTGGTGATATTTTATGCAAAAAATTCAAAGTCCGCTTGGGATGCAATCCAAGTGCTCGAGCATATGAATGTTTCTAGGATCAAGCCGGACCCACATGCTTGCACCGTGCTCCTAAACTCATTGGTGAAGGAGGGTTTGACCGACACGATGTGGAAGACGCACAAGAAGATGATGAAACTTGGGGTTGTCCCAAACATACACATATACAATGTCCTGATTCACGGGTGTTGTAAATCAGGCAATGTGGAGAAGGCAGACGAACTGTTGAGTGAAATGGAGTTTAAGGGTATATTCCCTGACCTACACACATTTAACACAATGATATCCATGTACTGCCGGAGAGGCATGCACTATGAAGCTTTGTGCATGCAAGATAGGATGAAAATGGGAGGAGTGGGGCCCGATATCATTACGTACAACTCTCTGGTACACGGATACTGTAGAGAAGGCAGGATGAGAGAGGCAATGAGAATGTTTAAGGACATTACTGATGAAAGAGGAAAAAGAGATGCTCATATTACTCCAAACCAGGTGACATATAATATATTGATAGATGGTTATTGCAGAGCTGGCGAAACAGATGAAGCCTTGAGATTGTGCAGTGAGATGGAAGAAAAGGGTTTGTTTCCCGGCATTGCCACTTACAATTCAATACTACGGAAGCTCTGCGAGGACGGTCAAATGAAGGAGTCTAACAAGCTTTTGAGTCAAATGAGTGAGAAGAAAATCGAACCCGATAGCGTCACTTGTAACACGTTGATCAATGGGTACTGCAAAGTCGGAGACGTGGAATCGGCTCTGAAGGTGAAGAACAAGATGGTGGAAGCTGGGCTGACACCAGATTCTTTCACATACAAAGCGTTAATCCACGGGTTTTGTAAGGCAAGAAAACCGGAGAGCGCCAAAGATGTGATCTTTAGCATGATTCTTGCTGGGTTCTCTCCGGGTTACTGCTCCTACTCCTGGCTCGTGGACGCATATACCCTCCAAAAAGACAATGAAGAAGATTATGCAAAACTAGCAGACGAGTTTTTGCAGAGGGGGATCTGTGTGGACATCTCATTCTACAGGGCCATTATAAGGCGGCTGTGCAGGAGAGGGAAGCTGGGCTGCGCCGAAAGGGTATTTTGGGTAATGACGAAAGAGAGGGGCATTTCGGGAGACAGTGTAGTGTGTACTAGTCTGGCTTATGCATACTTCAGAGAAGGGAATATGAAAGGTGCTTCAGATTTGCTGGATGAGATGTACAGGAGGAGGTTAATGGTGACACTCAAACTGTACAAAAGCTTGAATGCTTCTTACAGGGATGATAATGGCGGCCTTGTTTGTTTGTTCTGGAATGATTTGTGGCAGAGAGGTCTGCTTTCCAAATCTGTTATGGAAACTGTCCAACTCAACATGACCAAATGTTATACTACTCCCTCCTTGTAGGCCTTGTTTTGAAACCAACATTTTCAATTAGCATTTTGGATTTTTTCACGGGTGCAGATTAAATTAGAAAAATGTTAAAACTACATGCTGAAACTGTTGCCAAACTTGCCGGTGATCTTTGTTTCACATACATAAATTGCCCGGAGTAAGTTTTTAGTTTTTGATGAGGTTTTTTTTTTTAAAAAAAAAAAGTTAGAAGGGGCATTTGTTTCATAGAAGAATGAGAAATTAATTTAAATAAACAATCCTTAAGTATAAATATACATGATTTTTGGGTTCTTCCCAATTCGTATTAAGTTAATTAACTAAAGTAATTTTTATTTTAATTTATATTCTCTGTTTGGTAAAACAGTTTCTATTTTAATTTTGACCAGATTTATTTTTGTAATTTGATTTTCTAATTATATCTTTAAAATTTAAGAATAAAGAGAGACAACTTATTTAAATAACTTGTTATATCAATGCAAAAAGAATGTAGTATATTAGGACTTTATTTGAATACTCCCTCCGTTTGGAAAAATTCTTCCCATTTGATTTGGGGGCAAAAATAAGGAAGTGTTAAATTATAGCTGATTTCCAATTTTGCCCCTGATGTGATGGGTAAAAGTAAGATGTGATGGATTGATGATTAGAGAAAAAATATGATGTGATAGGTAGAGTATGAAAAAGTAAGGGTAAAAGTGGTTTTTTAATAGAAAGGGGAAGTGTTCTGTTGGAAGTGGAAAAAATGAAAGAGGAAGTGTTTTTGAAAATGGGAGGAGTATATATTAATCATTTTTTGTTAAAATGAAAGTGTTTTATTGCAAAAGAAAAAACGAAAGAGAAACTGCTTTGAAAAAAGAAAGATATGAAGTTTGGTATGAATATAAATAGAACTATATTTATATATATAAACTACATTAAAAAAATTTATAAAATAAATAGTGATAAAGCTATCTATTTTTTTTTTCAAATAATTTTAAAATAGTTAAAGAAATGCATAAAGAATGGAGAGCAGCACAGGTGTGAGTCTGACACAATGGAATGGTCTAAGGTTTGATAGAGACAAGAGAAATGCATACAATAATAGGAATGATAATGATGAAGGGAGTAAGAACAAAGAAATGGGTGGGAGGAGAAATATTACGCGGCCTCTGGCGGCGGCGGATCGGTGCTGGCGGAGCAGTGGTGCCAGCTAATAGCTTTCATCTCCTTTGACAAACTGTAAGCGGTGAAACCGTGAAAGTGAATTTTTTATACTCCGGCATTCTTACATACACCTTGCGCTCGCCTTATTTCTTCGGTTGTACTTTACCCTCTTCTCTCTTTCTAGGCGGAGCATTTAACTTCTGACAGTGCCTTTTCAACTGAGAGAGAAAGAGAGAGATTGACGACGATGATGATGATGAGGGAAGCGTTAATGGCGCTTCTCCTTCTTGGCCTTCTGATCAATCTGCTCAGCGGAGCTGCAGCTGATACAGAATCAAATGATGGTCGGTGATTTCTTCAATCCCACCTCACTTTCTGAAGTGTTCTTGGATTTCGAGTTCAGATTTCAGTTTCTTTTCTTTTGCTATATTATTTGTGTTTTTTTGACTTTACTTTACACTAGTAGATCAATACGAAGATGAGATGTAGGTTCTGTAATCAAATGCAGAGATTTTGGAAGAATTTTTAAATGATACCCAAAAAAAGAAGAAGAAATATTTCATGTTCTCTATGAAATTTGGGGTTTATCTCAATCCAAGTTGATAATTGTGTAAAATTTTTCATCTTGAGTGACGGCTCGATATGAATGAATGAATTAAAATCCTCACTTGAGAATACTTGTTCTTAACACTTTGTTTTTTTATATATATATATCTCCAGCCTCTGTTCTACGGCTCATGTTTTCCAGCCTGAATTCGCCATCTCAGCTATTAAGATGGACGGCAACCGGTGGTGACCCTTGTGGAGAATCATGGATGGGTATATCTTGCTCAAAGAATAGAGTTACCCAAATGTGAATCTCTTTCCCTTTTTTGATATTCCTGATACTCTCAGAAAACATGTATTTTACCTGTTGTTGATCCTGATACATCCTTGCTGATTTCCTATTTAGCATAATTGCAAGTCTAGGGCTCACGGGATCGATTGGATTCCAATTGGATCAACTGAAGAATGTAACCGAACTGTAAGACAAGTTCAATCCTACAATGTGGTAGACCTTGTGAATTTTTTATTTTCCAAATTAGAACTGGTAGAAGTGACAGTTTGTTGGGATTTTTCATCAGTGATGTAAGCAACAACAATCTTGGAAACCAGTTACCTTATCAGCTTCCTCCAAATGTACAGACACTGTAAGCTTCATTTCTGCATATCTGCTTGCTCCTCCTTTGTATGAACATGGCTATCATTGCTTAACAATCTTTCTTACAATGCAGAAACCTTGCTGGCAATGGTTTTAGTGGTCAAGTCCCATTTTCTATTTCACAAATGACTTCTCTTCAATATTTGTAAGTCACTTGCACTGGCATTTCTTTTTAAAATTCCACTTAGGGCTGCACGCTTTGATTTGGACTTAAGTTTTTGCAACTCGAATACGTGGTTCTTTCCAATTGCAGAAATCTGAGTCACAACAATATTCAGGGCCCATTGAATGATATGTTTGGATCCCTTTCTTCTCTATCGACATTGTAAGACCGATACCTTCAAGTGGATTCTTTTATGTGTTAGCTCCGTTTCCACCTTCTTTATATTTTTCAACAGGATGTTTAGGCATGTGGCATGCATGTTTGTTATAATATCTTGGAATTTTGTTTGTTTGTTTGTAAAGTACTCTATCATCCTAGATTCCTGGGTGTATCTTGTTTAGTATTTCTTCTTCTTGCCATGGTAATTTCCATGAGGACATCTGAATGTCACAACCTAACAACAGTTTTTTAGGGATTTCTCCTCTAATTCTATGGCGGGTGATCTCCCTCGAAGTTTTTCGTCACTTACAAGTATGAGCAGCATGTAAGTGCGTACATTTTTTTTCTGGAATATATTATTACCTTCAAACTATGTTCACCTCATAGGCACATTTCCAATCTTTAGGTATTTGCAGAACAATCAGTTCACTGGGACAATTGATGTCCTTTCAAATCTACCTTTTGATAATCTGTAAGTTGAATTATTTCTTCTCTTCTATAGCACAAAATAAAATAAAAATTTGAAACTCTTTAGTGACTTGCCCTTTTTTTGTTCAAGGAATGTTGAGAACAATCGTTTTACGGGATGGATTCCTGAGCAGTTAAAAGGCATACAGAGATTACAGTGCGTGTTTCAGATTGCATTACACTAACTGTTACTCCAAATTTTTCGTTGTCATTTCTGTGAATGAATATTTAGTGAAGTCCTTTTTTTCTTTAAAAAAATTGGCATCAGAACGGATGGTAACACATGGAACTCAGGGCCTGCACCCCCACCCCCTCCTGGAACTGCTAGTAGCCCCCCCAGAAATCACCATGGAAGCGCGAAGAGGCCGTCAAATGGTGGAGGCAATGGCAATGATGGTGGTGGAAAATCTGGGATAGGTGGTGGAGCTGTCGCTGGAATAGTAATATCCATTTTAATAGTTGCAGCAGTTGTAGCTTTCATTATTATCAACAGAAGATCAAGAATAAGAAGATCAACTGATATAGAAAAGAGGGATAACGAGATCTTTTCTCCTCTTGCTTCAAAGGGTAATCAAGGTATTGCGTGCTGGTCATATCTTTTTCTCATATTCATTGTCACTGGTACATCACATAAAGTCATAAACAGCTTTTAATGATAGAATGCTTGATATAACTTCCAAATTTGTTAAATACAATTAGTGGATGGAAGGTTGTTGTTAGCAAATCATAGAAGTTGCATTTGTTAAGACTCGCGGTTCCTCACAGCTAGACACCTCACACCTCATTTGGATTTTATTTTATTTTTTAAAATCTTTTTTCCCTAGGGGCATACAGTTCTTTTTTTTCAAATCTTTGTACTCGCTGCTGCTAGGTACATGCAGTTCTTTTTTTTGGCATGGAGTCCACATCACTAATAGTAATATAGGTCGGGGTCGGGCATGTTAAGACTTGAGTTGGTAAGAAAAGTAATCCATAGTTTTATTGTTGGTTTATTACCATATTGAAACAGAACTTCAACAACATTTAATTTAAATACATGTTATGTTAAACTTTGTTTTAATTTTACATAGTATATATGATCTCTAATACCGAAAGTCTGTTGTTCTCAACTATTTTTCTACAAACAGAGATGAAATCTATTGAACCGTTCTCCACAATGAGCACAGAAACATTTCAGACTCCTGTTGTAGTAAATCTAAGACCTCCCATGGCTCCGCCAATCAACCATCACCAATCTTTTGATGAAGATGACGTGTTAGCAAAACCCATTGCCCCCCCAAACAAAGTCAGTACATCAAAGATAAGTGCTACTCGGTATTCTATAGCAGACTTGCAGATCGCTACAGATAGCTTCAGTGCTGAAAATCTTCTTGGTGAGGGATCAATTGGGCGTGTTTACCGGGCTCAATTTCCAAATGGGAAGGTAATTTTCCTCTCATACTCTTGGGGTGTTTGGTGAATGGTGGTTAACAGCTTGTCAACCATTTTTTTAGTTTTTGGTTTGGCTTCAACTTTTGTTCTAACTTCAAGTATTTGACTTGGTCAAACAGCTATTACTAGAGTTTGATAAATGATTAATTGGTTTGGTTAATTGATACCGATCCCCGCTTAAGCGAAAAAGCCTCTGAGTGGTTCTTTCGCATCAAGTTATTGACTTTATGTTTTAAAAGTACTTACCTTCAAATTTTACCCTTTCTTTATGTATTTTATACGTAATTAGTAAAAAGAGTTAAACAAAATGGTAATGAAATTACACGGACACTAGAACTTTGATGTAGTAATGACAGTCTTGAGGGATGACTAATAAGCGAAGGATGAGAAAAAAATCAATTAGTGACTATTTGAGCAAGAGATAGTTTCTTCAAACTCCAATTTGGAATCTACCATAATCATTTTCTTGTCACAATCTAATACCATTGCAGGTTCATGCTGTAAAGAAAATTAATTCTTCTGCTGTCCAAGACCCTGAAGATTTTCTGGAGTTGGTTTCTACAATATCACAGCTACATCATGCGAACGTGACTGAACTTGTAGGGTATTGTTCAGAGCATGGACAGTATCTGCTGATTTATGAATTCCACAAAAATGGCACTTTGCATGATTTTCTTCATCTATCAGATGAGTACAGCAAGCCACTAACTTGGAACAGCAGAATTAAGGTTGCTTTGGGGACAGCACGAGCATTGGAGTGAGTTCACCTGACACTATTACACTATTAACTGTTATTATTGCATGACCGATATAAATCTAATAGTTTCCATCTTTTTACTACGCATACATAATCTTATCTGAGAGTATTATCATTTGCCAGATACCTACATGAAGTTTGCTCGCCATCAGTGGTTCATAAAAACTTTAAATCTTCCAACATTTTACTTGATTTAGAGCTCAATCCTCATCTAACAGAGTGTGGATTAGCAAGCCTGATAGCAGATGGAGATCAGGTTGGTACTTATGGTTTGCTTATTTCACTTCTGACTCCAACCAAACTTGTTTTTATAAAAAAAAAAACTTTTTTCCTAGTCAATTTTGTGGTCATATTTCAAGTTATTGGAATTCACTAAATTTGCACTGGGTATTGGATATTGCCTCATCCTTTGTTTTTATGATTCGTAAATCGTAATTAAGATTAAATCTTTTTTTATTAACTACCCCGACCCGATCTTATACGGAGTTAGCCATATACTTCTATGTGGTAACAATTATAAATTTATGATGGTTTGAATTTCTACCCCTTTTGAAATTGTTTTAGGCTTTGAGCTACAACGCAGGGTCTGGTTATGGCGCACCCGAGGTTTCCATGTCGGGGCAGTATACCATAAAAAGTGATGTGTACAGTTTTGGGGTGGTCATGTTGGAGCTTTTAACCGGAAGAAAGCCATTCGATAGGTACGGAGTAAAACTTATTTGAGCATCTGCTGTTTCATTTCATTCCACAGAATGAAAAACACACACCATGCAAGTGCCTGACTTAAATGCTGATGACAGTTTCTCTCCCTTTTTCCCCCCATCAATTGCATATAGTTCAAGGCCAAGATCCGAGCAGTCGTTAGTTCGATGGGCTACTCCTCAGCTACATGACATTGATACCCTATCTAAGATGGTTGACCCAGCACTCGATGGACTTTACCCAGTCAAATCCCTCTCCCGCTTTGCTGATGTCATCGCTCTTTGCGTCCAGGTATATATATATACCACTTGTACCGATTCTAAGTTGTAACTTGTAACCGTAGAATTGTGAGAATCCAACCCAAAACTAATTGGCAACAATAGGAGGAACGTAACCCACATTCTTATATGCTCCCTCAGTCCCTAAAACACTGTTTGGTTCACCATACAATAGGTTTTGAAAAGCTCCTCTTCTATATAACCTAACTTATCAAATAAGTTCCAAAATAAGCTTTAGAACTTAAAAACTACAACTCTATCATGTTATGGTGGTTGTTGTGACAGTCGGAGCCGGAGTTCAGACCACCCATGTCAGAAGTTGTTGAAGCATTGGTTCGGTTGGTGCAACGAGCAAACATGAGCAGGAAGACATCACTCAAAACGGCTGCAGATGACGAATAATAATGATAATCAAACAGATCAGATCACACAGAGTTTGTCAGTTAGAGCCTTTGAGTACTACACAGTTCAGGTGGTGAAAGGTTTCTCCTCTGCACAATCTATGAGCTGTTTATGTATAGCGTGCATTTATTCATTGTTTATGTTCTTTTTTTTGGGGGGCTGGTCAAATAATTTGGAAGGAAATTAAATGTATTTGTGAAAGAAGTATATAGAAGAAAGAAAAATAAAATGATATACGCACAACAATTTTTATTGTGTACATGTTGATGACAACTTGGTTTTGATGTTTGTTTATCCTCTGTCAATTCATTTTTTTGGTACATATAGGTTGTGATCAAAATCTGGTTACATGTATGCATGGCCACGATTCTTTTGACACCAGTGGCTAAAGGAGTAGTTTAAACATATTTAAAATTTTCTATCCATCCATTGAGTGTGAGTCACACTCAATTTAATTTATTTGATTAATGGAATTAGATTTTAAAATAAAATGTACATATTAAAAAGTACATAAATTTTTTTACAAAATAAGATATTTCTTTATTTGTTCATATTTGTTGTCCAATATTTTCAAAAATATTCAAATGTATTTTTAAGCATTTGAATTCTAGTTATAGCATTGTATTTTTTAAAGTTAAAAAAGATAAAGAAATCTTGTCAAAAACAATGCAGAGTATAAAACTTTGAACAAATCCCTTTTTTATTGAAGTTCAAAAATAGTAAGTTTCTGAGATTTGTGATTATTATTTTTTTGTAGCCAATCATTTCTCTTCTTTTAAACACTTTTTAGTCACTTTGTATTATTTTGATATTTTGTTGAACTACATCAAGTCAAACTATAGTATGATGTTGCCAAATGCTATTGTAAAACTAAAGTCTATACCATTTTAAGTGAACTGTTTTGCGGAGTAAGATAGTGATAAACAAATTTGGAGTACTTATTATCCCGATTTTTTTAAAGAAAAAAGATCTTTTTTATGTGAGAAAATGCACAAAGGAGAAAAAATTGTAAACTCCGTATAAAATATTGAAAAAGTATTAAGATAAGAACTTCAAATTTTTTTATCCAAAATAGAAGTTATAATGTCAACATGTAGTATTTAAACATATTATAGAGCGCCAATATATAGTTCACAGTGCAAACTTTTATTTTAAGAATAAATATATGCCACTCATAATTTGGGGACAAGAACTACTTATTCACTCCCAATTCCCAAATTAGATTGCATAATTCAAAGAACATGCAAAATCTTATGTTTTTAAAATTTAATTTATTTATACTAACATAGAAATAATAATGCAACTTATATACGGAGTATTAACAATTATATCAAAAACTATACAAAATAAATAGTTCTAAAAATATTTATTTTATTAAAAAACAGTAAAAAAAAATAGAAATAAATAAAATTTATCGAAAAATCAGAATATTTTTAGTGATTTTTTTATATATTTTTGCACAAAAAGTAGGTGTGGACTTTGGTAAGAAGTCTTGGATCTTACTCAAGCGTGAAGTATATAGCACGAATTTCCACTAAGGGTATGTATGATTAGTGGCAATCTGTTTCGAAGTGGCGTGGCGGCATCCCAAGAATTCCATTCTGGGTATAATATAAACGTCACAGTCCGCCATTTTTAGCCGGCTAACCGGAAAGGGATCTCCTTTCAATTCGCTTTCGATTGCTCTAGTTTTTACCATCGGGTCGGGTCAAGTTTCTATATCCTCTTCCAAGGCCAGATTTCGAACAAGTTTCCGACTTTCTGTACAATACCCACCGGAAATGGCCGGTCCCGGCGGCGCGGGGTTCGGATTCTTGATTATGAGGCCGGAGAATGGAGGGGTTTGGGACCTTTTTAGATTTGGGGTGCTGGGTCACCAACTAAGCGGGGCGAAATTTCTTGAAAGTTCCCATTACTGGGGCAGCCTCAGTGAAAAGCTGGACGGGGTTGGCGGCGGCGGCGGAGAAGACTATGCTCGTAGATGGGTGATTGTCGTCTCCGTTGTGGTGAGGAAAGTGCTGGCTTTGTTCAAGAAACCATTGGAGTTGACTGGCTATCTTTTGGAGTTCCTACTGAACCTCTTCTCACTTAATGGCAGCAATTTCTTCACTTTCCTCTGCAAATTCATTACTGGTATATAAAAAAAATGGTCTTCGTCTCTACTTTATATGCGAAATTAAAGTCCTTTCATTTACAGTGTGAGGTTTAAGTGAATTCGATTACGAGGTTTTTTGCTTATTTCTTATGAGGTTTATGTGAATTCAATTTAATCCATGTTTTCCATAACCAAACATCAAAAGTCCAAAATTGTAAAGAGAAGCTGAAAATAAGAAACAAGCAAAAAGTTAAGGTTTTTTTTTTGAACAGTCCCTATAAATATATTTGTAGCTTAAAGATGCCTCATTTGATGGAATCAGGACAACTAGTGATACCAAGGAGAGGATCGGAAACATACACTTGTGTGGTGGGGTATTTAGATGGGCGTATAGACCTATACAAGAGTGAAATGGTGCTTGATGAACTTAGAGGACATGATGCAATGAAGGTAAGTGTGCCTTTGGAACCTGGAAACCGAGCTCTTATGGACCTGTGTATGATGGCTTCAAAGTTGGCCTACGAGAACGAAAATGTCGTTAGGAAAGTTGTAAATCTTCGTTGGAAGGTACAAACCTTTTAGGCCCCCAAACACACTTAATTTTCATTTGCACGGATTCAATTGATGATCTTGACTTTATCATCTCAAACATAAACTAACGATTATTTCACCTTTTTTTACAAATTAGATGCATTTTGTGGAGTTCTACAATTGTTGGAACGGTGAGAGAATTCATCCTACGACACACACAGTTGCATTTTTGTAAAGCGGATGCATTTTCTTTTGGTTTCTTTTACTGGTTACCGTATTCTGATCACTTGGTTTATTTGTCTTTTGTTTCTTGGAGGGCAGAGTATCAACAAGAAAGGTCCACCCAAGTTTATATATTGTGCGACAAGCCAAAAGACGCAAACTTTATATTGGTTGGCTTTAGGGGAACCGAACTCTTTGATGCCGATGACTGGAGCACTGATTTTGACTATTCTTGGTATGAAATTCCAGAAATGGGAAAGGTGCACATGGGGTTCTTGGAAGCCTTGGGGTTAGGGAACAGAGAGAACCTTTCGACATTCCAAGAACGTCTTTTCAAACAAAACGCAGAAAGTTCAGACTCATCCGAATCCTCCAACTCAGAAGGACCCTTTGAAGATTTGTCTGCATACTACACCGTTAGAAAGAAGCTCAAGAGTTTACTCGAAGAGAACGAAAATGCAAGATTTATTGTGACGGGGCATAGCCTGGGAGGGGCCCTCGCAGTTCTGTTCCCAACCGTTTTAGTAATGCACGAAGAGGAGGCAATGATGAAACGGCTGTTGGGAGTTTACACATTCGGACAGCCCAGAGTTGGGAACAGGAGGTTAGGGAGGTACATGGAAGAACACCTGAACCATCCAGTTCCCAAGTACTTCCGCGCAGTCTACTGCAACGACCTTGTTCCCAGGTTGCCCTATGATGATAAAACATTCTTATACAAGCACTTTGGGGTGTGCCTCTACTACAACAGCATGTATATTGAACAAGTAAGGTTCCCCATGTTTATGTTTTACTCCATCTTGACATTTAAATGCCCTCCATTGTTGTTTCAATGTCTTCAATGAGGCATGGCTTGTTTTCATGTGTGTTTTCAGAGAGTTGATGAAGAACCAGACCCCAACTATTTCGGGATACGCTTTGTGATTCCGATGTATCTGAATGCTGTTTGGGAGCTGATCAGAGGGTTGACGATGCGTTACCTGTACGGGGAAGGGTACAAGGAAGGTTGGGTGTCCATCGTTTGGAGGACATTCGGACTGTTCGTCCCAGGCGTTGCTGCTCACAGTCCTGTAGATTATGTCACTTCCATAAGGCTTGCAAGGGAAAAAATGTAGAGAGAGCTATCAGGACAGGACTCCCTTACCTTAAAGGGAGGGACACCTCTCCTTTTGAAAGGGCACAGAAAAATGGGAACAATAAATGTTGCTTGCTTATTACCTCTTCTCTGGTCCTTCCAAGCAAGGCCTTCATTGTTTAGAGTGGCTTAGCATTTTGTTGTGCATGATATAATGTGCAGTGTGGTTTTCTTTAAGATCTGTTAACTGCTAATACAAAACTGCCACATAATATAAATTGATATTTACTCACTATGAATTGTTCTATGAATTGCTTTAAAATATATTGTTTGTGCTTTTTTTATTTTTATACCAATTCATAGATAAAATAATTTTTTTAAAAAATAAATTTTTGCACGTTGTTCGAATAGCGTAAATGAATTTGGGACAGAGGTTGTACGTTTTCTTTTAAAAGTTTGTACTTCCTCCATTTTTAAATTTTTAAGAGGAATATTTTGAGACGGACAAAAAAGTAACGAATAACAAAGAATTATTACTCCGTACAATTGTATATTATTAATCCACGATTCCAACTGTCCAAATAAAAGAAGAGTTTGGGGTGGCTGATGAATAAAGGAGGGGACAAAAGGGACGTGATTGGCCATGATTTTCATATTCCTTCTTTAGTAAAACAAAAAGAAGGATGAATCTAATTTTTTTAAGATTCTTTTAAGATTTTTTCCAGAACTAATTAGACGATCACTTGAGATAAAGTAAATTAGATTCAAATCTTAGATTTGCCAACTATGCAACGCTCACCAGACATTTTTTTTACTTCAGTTAATTATATAGATTGATATACTTCGTATTTCATTCGGCAAATAATTTTTTTTGTTTTTTTCTCATACGAGTTTCAAATTATTTTTTTTGAAAAAAGTTTCTTAGAAATAGTCTTCTATTTTCAAATATGAATAAAATCTATGTACACACATCCTACCTGCTCTGATCTTATTGGGTTGTTGTTATTGTATCTCTTTAGAAAAGGATATATATGTGTGTGTGTTCGGAAAATTGAATAGATAAAAAAAATTGGTCCATAAATAATGAAATGAGATGATTAATTAAGGACGAGTTTTTCGTGGGAGAAAAGGAAAATATGAACCCCACAGCCACAGCTCTCCATCATATCATATGAAACCAAACCCGCCTGCACAGCTCCACCTTTTTGTTTTTTTCCAAACACTCCCTTGTGATTTGTGAAACAACTTCGTACATAAAAAAAGAGTAAATTCCATAATTGATCCTTTATAACAGGGGGTTTCCATATTTAGTCCTCTATTATTAAATATTACCCCCGTAGTCCTTATTTTAAGGGTACCTTTCCACAAATGGTCCTTTTTTTGATCTTCTGCCGTGTTGGTGTTAATTTAAAGGCTAAAAGTATAATTTGACATCAACATTATGTGTAGTGACGTGTTTTGATATTGGTTAAGCGGATAACACAAAAATAATGACTATGATTGTGGGCTAGGATTCTGACGAAAGATCACATTGTAGACTATAGTTGACATAAAAAGCGACTGTAATTCACAAACGACGCAAACGGAACAGCCTTTGGAATTGTGTATGACAAAAAAGATATATTATCATTGTGAAATTACACTTTTAGCCCTCAAATTAACACCAACATGATAGAAGATCAAAAAAAGGATTATTTATGGAAAGATACCCATAAAAGAAGGACCACTTGGGTAATATTTGATAATAGAGGACTAAATAGGGAAACCCCCCTGTTATAAAGGACCAATTATAGAATTTACTCTAAAAAAAAATTAAATTCTCCATAAGCACTTTAAATATTACTCTCTTCATTCTAAATTAATTGTCTTGTTTTATTTTTCAATTCTTCTCAGAATAATTATCTTATATGCTTTATTATGACTTAATAAAATACGGAATAAAAATATATAGTCTACAATCTTTTTTCTAAACAATATTCAATCACTCAATTTTTATTTTGAGTTAATTTCATAATTAGTCTTTTATAATATAAGTTTTTAATATTTAGTCCTCTATTATAAAATATTAGCCTCGTCATGTAAGTATTCATTTGAGGGCTAAATGTGTAATTTGACATCAACACTATGTCCAGTAACGTATTCTAATTTTGGTTGAACGGACAACACAACATTAATGACTATGACTGTGGACTAGGATTCTCGCGAAAGACTGCGTCTGTAGTAGAAAACAACGATGACGCATCAGGAGCGACTCTGAAATTATGTGTGACAAGAAAGACATACGGAGTATGATCATTGTAAACTTACACTTTTGACAAAAATGAGTAGTTGGAATTTGTTTAGTAGAAAAAATATTCTATACTGAGTGTTTTTGTAACGCT